CTCGGTGCCACATAGTTCAGCGTACTAGATTCTCTCGTAACAAGAACTATGGTTTAGAGTTTTCAAGACTATCACGCCTTCAGTGGCACTCTGTTATAAGTGTACTCATGGCATTAATGTACTCAGTGGCACTCTGTCATAAGTGTTACTCATGGCATTAATGTACTCAGTGGCACTCTGTCATAAGTGTCATGGCATCAATGTATCTCAGTGGCACAGTGGCACTCTGTTATAAGTGTACTCATGGCATTAATGTACTCAGTGGCACTCTGTCATAAGTGTTACTCATGGCATTAATGTACTCAGTGGCACTCTGTCATAAGTGTTACTCATGGCATTAGTGGCACTGTGTTAGCCGACAGCAAGAGACAGTCATCGACCACAGTCAGCATAGTAATGGACGTGGTTGATGGATTATACACGTGAATTAAAACAAACACCTGGAAACCTACAGTAACTGGCACTCTCGGACACACGGCACACTGCCTCTATATCACCCTCATTATAGAGACCAAACCTCTAAACAGGGCTACATGATAATCCTCTAAACACATGATCTACACCTCATCATTTTGAGCTTCTCGTATAATGTGTTCAAAGCCTCATTCACCAACTGACATAGTGAAAACTCTCCATAGGGATGTTTATACCTCTCTATATAACACAGGAATGGTTATAATGCCCTTCAATATAACACAGGAATGTTTATAATGCCCTTCAATATAACACAGGAATGTTAATAATGCCCTTCAATATAACACAGGAATGTTTATAATGCCCTTCAATATAACACAGGAATGTTTATAATGTCCTTCAATATAACACAGAAATGCTTATAATACCATTTTATATAACACAGGAATGTTTATAATACCATTCTCTATATCAGTAATGTTTATACCGTTTTAACTAACACTGAGAGAGATGATGAAAGCTTTGTTACACGTCACACTACCACTATATGTGACGTGTCTTAAGAAAGTAGCGTTAAGAGTAAGAGGCATGCATTTTGTGCGTTTAGATACAGCCTAGGAGAAGGCTCATGAGACGACAGGAGCAGCTGGTGCTAATCGTCATGACGTCACGGGGTACTGCTGAGCGAGGGTCCACGGTGGATTGATTTGTTTCTCTGACGCATATAGATATTTCTTTGGTTTATTTCTTTCACGGATAAGAATATTTCTTTGAGCTTGATATACTGTATGGATGCAAGTAATGTTTTTCATCGTCAGAATCAATATATGTTAAAATGTTCAAATGCATCTCCATTGACCTTACTGTTACTACATGTTTTTATAACTTTTGGGAGGTTTATAACTCGTGTCTAAACGACTCAGTTGTAAAGTGAACGAGGCAATTAGCACACCAAACTACCCCAACAAGAATGTACAAAGTTAAACGCTCATCGAGACTTTGAATATCAAAGATGAAATACAAGAACCATACTAATGTTATAGTCTAGAGCCATATAAGAAGTAATGACGTGGAGCTGTCGACGACGAAACAGGTACACCAGGGGGTTCAGAAGTTCGCTCCCTCCCAGACTGAAGCAGTGTCGACTCCGAATGAGATAAAACAGCAAACCCGCACCAGAGGACAGCCAGGGTTTAAATCAGCTCGGAGACTCATTCCTGTCATCCAGTATCACCACAGGGAGTGAACTTTTGCCCGTGACTGTACAAGTATTAATATGATGTAAGAAATTGGTAATGAGATCTACATGAGAGAGTTTGACGTCGTATTATATAATGTAAAGAGTTTGTAAAGGTATACTAAAACAAGTTACGATTAAGAGCACTTCAAGATGAAACACGGAGGGTGAGGGGTGGGAGGGATAAGGGGAAGGAGGGGGACAAAGGAGCAAGGAAAGGTACAAGGAGAAAGCATAGAATAAAAATACCATAAGACGAAGCTTGACAATTTAAACGAAAAGAAAGAAAGAAGGAAGGAAAAAAGGAAGGGCATTAAGAGATAGAAAAGGAGGAGAAGAAGGCAGAAGAGGAGGAAGAGGGGAAAGAGGAGGAGGGAGGGAATGAACAAACACCGCTAAATGATGCACAAGTAAAAGAAATCACAGACGTATGATAAAGACTTAAAAAAACAATAAAAAGAATCGCGTAAACAACGGATAAACATGGAAGAAGAGGAAAATATAAGGGAAAGAGAAGGTAAATAGAAGAATAAGAAAGTGGTACACAGGAAGATAAAAAAAACTAGAATAAGGAGATAGAATAAAGAAGAAGAAATTGTACAAAAAGAAGTTAATTAAGGGATGGAAAGAGTTGATATAGGAGCTGGGGGACAGAGAGACAGACAGAGAGAGAGAGACAGAGAGAGAGACAGACAGACAGACAGACAGACAGACAGAGAGAGAGAAAGACAGACAGACAGACAGACAGACAGAGAGAGAGACAGACAGACAGACAGACAGAGAGAGAGAGACAGAGACAGACAGACAGACGGTGAGGATCTTGACCCCTGTGTATACACCTTACGATATCTTTCTATTAACACATACATAGGGCTCCACTCTTATCGTAGGCTCCACTGCTACCTATCGCTTCGTAGGCTCCACTCTCATCTATTGCTCCCTACTGGTCCGCTGTTACTATCGCCTCACTAAATACAGTTGACAGTTTCTAAAGTGTTGGCCTAAATATTAGTGTGAATGATACCAAATTTTTTAATGTATTAACTCGCTCCAAAAAGCATCTTCACGGAGGCGTCTGATGAATTTCAAAATGTACACTGCGTCTCCTGTTGTCTCGGTAGGGTTGTTAAAATCCTTCGTCCGTTGTGTCATATTAACTTACACAAAATCGTAAAAATACTTTTGGGAGTGATTACTTTGTCGATAAATCTCGTAACATCGCGTGACCTCTTCATGACCTGACCTGCCATCAAACCTTCAACACTCTTCATCAGTGATCGCGGGTCATACCCTTCACCTCTTATACACAAAGAAATGTGATTGTCATACACGAGTGTTTGGCAACCATGAACACACAAACATTGTATAGTAACAAACATCTAGGTTATATCTAGCTAACACTTGCAACAATTTCCCTCATTAGCTGGAAAATCGTGCCAAAGTCTTGAGAGTTGAAGATGAAGTTATATCTTGATCTTCGTGGTAAAGAAACTACAGCCTGCCGGTACAGTATATATATCAGTACTCTAAAATTGTTCATGAAATAAATGATCTAAGCTGACATAAGACTAGTGTTAAGGAGGAACACAATCATAACTTATCACTTAAAATTCTCGTTAAAAAATGGTTTAGGCAGGTTGTCATTATATCAAAGTACAGTAGGTTGACGAAGGTGTCTCGACACAGTATAAAAGAAGGCAATGATGTCATTAGGTTAATCTACGAGAGAAAACACTTGTTTCTTCGTCTCTAAAGACACACGTTGAAAACAAACAATTGTTCTACTAAATCACTGCACAATGGACAACGGTACAACACAAGCCACCGATGTCGTATTATACCGTGAGTCATAAGTTACCCTCTACTGTACCTCAACTTGTCTCCTCAGATAGACTCCTGCCCCAACACTCACTACAGAAGTAAGTAATAAAGTCTCTCTCGTCTCACTGATTCTGAAATAGGAAACATACGTGTCCTCACCAGTCCGTCGTGCCCTGGCTGGGAGCGCCGGGGTCCACGACAGTGACAAGTGTTCCTCAGACTTCAGGTTCCGTGTTTCATGCTTGTGATAAGTGTGTCGAGGAGCTTTGGGTCACTCACTCGATCACTGGTCTTGGCGACTCGACAATTGACCCGAGTCACAGTACTGGTACACGTTTCAAGGAGCCTTGGGTGCTTCATCAGAGTGTTGGCGACTCATCGATGGTCCACTGCACCAAACTCTTCGCACTTGAGGTCTGATGACACAGTGCTGAGTAAAGATTTACTTCGGCTTCAGTGTGTGTTTTATTCTGGTTATGTTTACATCTGAGTGTCCCCGACGTATGAGCTCTTGCTACCATCACGCTCACCTTCAGCCTCGACTCTTACGGTCCACACGAGACCTACACAACACGGACACACACACACACACACACACACACACACACTCAAACATCTTCAATATATGTCTTCGCTCTTCATCAAGAACAAGACTTTTCGCACTCATACTTGAGTTTTCTCTTCAAGGATTCCATCTTGAGCTTCATCTTACATTTATTTCAAGTGTTCTGTTCACGCAAAATTAACACCATAAGTCGTCCATCTTGTGTTAGAGCTGTAGGTCCCTCAATCACCCTCTACACTCTCACTGTTTTTCTTGTTATGTTTTGGTCTCAGATGTGAGTGTTTATTTTACCGTTGACTCATTATCAGCTTCCTCGTGCTTCCCTCATGTCTTTAGACTAGTTCACCGGTGTTTATGTTTTACAAATAGATTTTTCTAGATATTCTACAAGTTCCTCGTTCGTATGGCTGTCTCCCTCAGCTGTCTTCATCCATAGTGGCTTCTGATGTCCCATCCCTGGAAGGACTCAGTCTCCTCTTGCTCTCAGCTGCCCCTAAACACTAAGCCAGGGTGTGAGGTGCCCTCCCTCCCTCCCCCCCCCTTCCCTCCCTCCCAAGTGCCCCAGTACACTAAACCAGGGTGTGTAATGCCCATCTTCCCTCCCTCCCTACCCTCCCTCCCAGCTGCCCCAATATACTCAGCCAAGGTGTGAGGTGCCCCTCCTCTTTCCCTCCCTCCCCCCTCCCAGCTGCCCCAGTACACTGAGTCAGGGGCGCGACATGACGAAGGTGGCCGCGGTGCCCCTGCTTAACGCACGCTGTCTCCCGAGTCTGAGTCGACCCTTATGACACTACTGGCAGGGAGGAGGCGGTACCAGCCACTGAGACTCTGCTGACCCTGTTCGAGCTTCGTCAGGCTGATCTCTGCCACACCCATGCCGATGTTGTGCTCGAAGCCTCTCTGTCTCTCCCACACCATGACGAGCAGAGTGCGTCCCAGGACATCTTGAGCAGCGTAGCGGAGACTCTGCTGGTACTGCGGCTCCCGGGAGTGTCGCGTCACCCGGGTCTTACGCTTCTGCAGGCGGCGATTACCTTCCCTCAAGTAGGTCTTCACGTAGGTGTCTGTGTGGGGGAGGAGGAGAGAGTGATGATATCTAGAACACTTACTGTATGTAGGCATGATGATATAATGAGTCACACACACACACACACACACACACTTACTTTCACATTTTAACTTCAATGTATATTCTGAACTGTACATGGATAAATAAACAAACATATATTCACATAACTAAACAGAAAAACAGACACAGACAAGGTAGCCGTGTAACTCCTGGGCTGGGTGGGGTGGGTGCTACAGAACACAGCCTGGTCAGCCTACCTGGATCCTGGCCTGACGCCGCAGTGGGGAGTCCCCGGGCGCTGCTGACTTCGACTTGCAGGTGTCCCTTGGTCAGTGTAAGCACCAGGTGGATCTCCCCGAGCGTGAAGTCATCTGCGAAGGTAAGAACATGAGGAGGTGCTAAGAGTGGTGGGCGGTAAGGGAAGAGGAAGAACAAGAAGAAGAAAGAGTAGGAGGAGGAGGAGGAAGGAGGAAGGAAGTGAAAACAAGATAAAATGAAAAAAAGAGGAGGACGTTTGGTAGGAGAAAAAGAAAAAGAAGAAATGGGAGGAGAAGGAGGAAGGAAGGAAGTGAAAGCAAGAAAAGATAAAATGAAAAAAAAGAGGAGGACGATTGGTAGAAGAAGAAGGAGGTAGAGGAGTAGGAAGAGAACAACTGAAGACAGAGAAGGAAAATGGGGAGGAAAATGAGGAGGAGAAGAAGAAGAAGAAGAAGAAGAAGACTGAGGTGAGAGAGAGGAGTCAGAACCTGTACTAAGTGATACCATTTCTACATATTTAGTAAGGATAGTAACAAGGTACCATTGTAAGTGAGGATAGTAACAAGGTACCATTGTAAGTGAGGATAGTAATAGAGTACCATTTTAAGTAAGACCAGAACAAGGTACCATTGCAAGTTAACATAGTAGCGAGGTACCATATGCAAACTAAAAAGAAATTATTGCTTTTTGACATTACCAGCTAAGGTGGACTACTGTACGATAAGAGAAGAAATACTAATGTATATCTTTATGAAGGATTATATATTGAAAACAAGGAATAATTAGTCAAGAAGATGATGATTCAGGTAACTTACTTAAGGCTTTGTTGATTAGGTAAATGCATTAAGTGATGGGATTGAATTTTTTTTAGACAATATCATAAAACACGTCATGCCAATGGTGTTAAAACTGAAGCCAAATATGAACCACAGATATAAATTATAGTAATGTTTTCTAACACCTACTAGAAGTCTAGGACAATTTAACTATGATTCTGCAAAGAGAGAACAAAAAAATAGAGACGTGTCTGTGGTGCCACGTTAAAGCCCCATCTTAAAAAAAGGATCATCAACTTTGTACTGGGACACAAAAAAACACTACAAAAATATTCTGTAGATACAACAGAGCGGTGGGAGGGTATAGGAGGGAGGGAGGGATGGAAGGAGGGAAGGAAGGGAATTGGAGGGCTCTAGGTAAAACGTTTGTTCTAGTGTGAAGAAAGGGAGAGGTGAGGAAGAGGGAAGAGGGAAGGGCAAGGCAAAGCAACACTATAGTTAGGTGAAATAGAACTTTACCTTTCAGTTCATTTGGGAGCTGTTTTTGAAGATGGGACAACGTGACAAGTTATCAATCTAATTGCCAAGAATGAGGTGGTTAGCTATATTATAAACTCTATAGTTTTATTATACAGTGCAGTGCAAAATTGGTACTGTAAAAAAAAATAAATATGCATTATAGGTGCACAAGAACAAAAAAGCAGTTCATTTAGAGAGAAAAAGACCAAATCAAAAACATCACTTGTGCAAGATTATATATAAAATAAAGTGCGTTATAACAGCTGAATAAAACACAACATTATGATAAGATTAAAACAAATTAATATTTTTTTATATATATATAGAATAGCCAAACAGAAATCTACGTCAGCATTGGTCATAAGCCACTAAAACCTGTACAATGCTACCAGGAGTATTAATAGCATATATCAGAAGGGGCTGTGCCAAGAAGCTTCCCATAGCCTCTACAGGACTTGGATATCTTTACAGCTGATGGAGGTGAATGGTTGTTGCTCCTGTACTAGCCAGAGACACGTGAACCTCTCAAAGTTGATGACGTTAAGAGAGTCAAGGAATTATAAGAATAGTGGTGATGAGTGTTAGAGTTAGAATAGTGGTGATGAGTGTTAGTGTTAGAATAGTGGTGATGAGTGTTAGTGTTAGAATAGTGGAGATGAGTGTTAGTGATAGAATAGTGGTGATGAGTGTTAGTGTTAGAATAGTGGTGATGAGTGTTAGTGTTAGAATAGTGGTGATGAGTGTTAGTGTTAGAATAGTAGTGGAGTGATAGAATAGTGGTGATGAGTGTTAGTGTTAGAATAGTGGTGATGAGTGTTAGTGTTAGAATAGTGGTGATGAGTGTTAGTGTTAGAATAAGTGTTAGTGTTAGGTGATGAGTGTTAGTGTTAGAATAGTGGTGATGAGTGTTAGTGTTAGAATAGTGGTGATGAGTGTTAGTGTTAGAATAGTGGTGATGAGTGTTAGTGTTAGAATAGTGGTGATGAGTGTAGGTTAGATGAGTGAGTTAGTGTTAGAATAGTGGTGATGAGTGTTAGTGTTAGAATAGTGGTGATGAGTGTTAGTGATAGAATAGTGGTGATGAGTGTTAGTGTTAGAATAGTGGAGATGAGTGTTAGTGTTAGAATAGTGGTGATGAGTGTTAGTGTTAGAGTGGTGATGAGTGTTAGTGATAGAATAGTGGTGATGAGTGTTAGGGTAGTGTTAGGAAGTGTTGAGCAGTGATCAGTGTTAGAGTAGTGGTGATGATGAGTGACGACACACACACACACACACACACACACACACACCTGGTCATCACTGTCATCAATCTGTAGCTCCTCAGACCCTGAAGTTTTTAAAACTGTGTCCTTGAGCTACTAGTGTGTGAGAGAGAGTGTGTGTGTGTGTGTGTGTGTGTGTGTGTGTGTGTGTGTGTGTGTGTCCACAAAGAAACAAAGAAGAAACACCTCAGTGTTGTCTGCCTCAGGGAGCATCGTCCACTAAATTCCTTGAAGATGTGAAAGATCACGAAGTGCTTGTATGTTTCCTAGTGGTCACCTTCATGATATATCTATCTATGTATCTATCTATCTATATATATATATATATATATATATATATATATATATATATATATATATATATATATATATATATATATAAAACAACGTAATATACCTGAGGAGAGTTGACAAACTTTTCTCACAGTTTTCAGACTTTGTTTGCAAAATAAAATAAAGCAGATTGGTAAGTTTGCTTCACCTCTCACATGTCTCAAGAATCTCTGAGTTTTATTCAAGGGAAGAAGTTTTCTTGTGTGGAAAGTTTATAACTGAAATATCTTTTATCAGTTGGATATATTCACATAATAAATGTGCTTGGCTCTTGTAATATTTGAGAGAAATATTGTGACTTCAATAACCTAACCTAACCTAACCTAACCCGTAGTGCATTCATCTTAAGAACCACGTGTCTTGGGTTTAATGCCCTTCCGAAATAAAAAACCAGGTTACACCCTGTACACTAGTCCCTGTACACTAGTCCCTGTACACTAGTCCCTGTACACTTGACCCTATACACTAGTCCCTGTACACTTGACCCTGTACACTAGTCCCTGTACACTTGACCCTGTACACTAGTCCCTGTACACTAGTCCCTGTACACTAGTCCCTGTACACACCCCAGTAGTTAATTATGTACCCCTCTACATAGTCGCACCTGTATTAAGGGACACCGTGTGATGACAGGTAAGTTAAGCTGTACTATGATAAACTCCAACTTGATTCGCACATTCATCTAGGGACTCAAGTGTCATGAGAAGCTACTGACAGAGTACAGTCCTGAGTACTAAGAGACATGAGTATTTACAGTCATGTGTACCAAAAGAAACTAGTACTTATAGCCATGAGTACTAAGAAACCGTGAGAACTACGGGAATTGATTACTAAGGGACAGGAGTACTTACATCCAAGAGTACTATAAGTAAACATGGCTAAAGGTACATACAATTGTAAGTGCTTGAAACTAGGGGTCCTTTCACTTACAAAACTCAGAGAGAGAGAGAGAGAGAGAGAGAGAGAGAGAGAGAGAGAGAGAGAGAGAGATGTGTAATAACGTGCTCCAACGACTCAGTCTACACACCCATCATGCCAAAAGCAATGAATGATTAAGTTGCACAGCACAGTCAATATTTGCAATTGCATGTTGACAGCGTATTGGAGTTTTTAAAACCTCTTGATTATCATAAAATCAGGTGTGTCCGGTCTATTTAATTTGCATGATTAACTTTTTGCTGCTAGTTTCATGAATGCGTTATACACACTCTGGGGAATTTTATTTTAATGTGGAATTTTGAAGGTAAATTCCCCATGATTTGTGATGACGTCTGTGTGATGGAATTATAGAGAGAAATTATAATGTTATATAATTCGTTAGAGCTGTGTCGTGGTTAAGTGATATTATACTAAAATTATCATATTACCAAACTATGTAAATTATCAAGATATTACTGAAATTATTGACAAAATTGATTACATATTTTACAATTCCTACATATAATTTTTTTTTTACAGATATTCACAATTTTTAATATAGCAAAGGTATATTAATTGTGCTTTAATGACTATAGTACAGTCCTCCCACACACTCCTAGTAAGACAACCATATTAATCATTCCACAAAACAACTAAAAAAAAAAAAAATCCTCAAAAAAATAACAATGACAAAAAATTACCTTTCAGTCAGTTAGTATCCAAGTCTTATCAAGTATAGAAGTTTAGTGTCCTGGTTGTTGCGCTAGTTGAGAAAATCATACAAGTGAGAGAGAGAAAGTGAGAGAGAGTGAGAGAGAGAGAGAGGTAGCAGACACAAACAGCCACTACTGACCTGTTAATATGTCTCTATAACCTCGGGGCACAACCTGACCAGGACCCAGGTCACTTGTAGTCCCTTCCCCGCTCACGCTATCCAGTGTGGAGGAGGTGTGGAGGGGGAAGGGGTGTGGAGCGGGGCATTAGAGGGTGGAGGATGAGGATGGAGGAGGACATGGGGGTGGAGGATGAGGAGGGAGAAGGTGGAGGAGACAGGCAGCGATGGAAGGAGGAGTAGGTGGAGGAGGAGCAGGAAGAGGTAGAGGAGGAGGGGGAGCAGGAAGAGGAGGAGGAGGAGAGGAAGAGGAAGGAAATGCAGCAGCAGTTGACATCCATTAGGCAGGCAACATCATCAACACATCACACGACGATTTAGAGGCCACGCACGGAGGGAGAGAAAAAAGAGAGAGAGAGAGAGATAATAAAGAGCGAGAGAGAGAGAGAACAACAATAATAACATATCGTGCTGTGTTTTGGCAGATCTGTTGTCTTGTACGGAATATATCTTTTAAGCGAGGGAGAGAAGACGTCTTTTGTTTTGTTTTATTTCTGCCTAACAGACTTAGTAGACTGTGGTTGGTGGACACACTGGTGACCATTGGCGGAGTAATGGTCGCATACTAATGGCTGGAAGAGATAGCTCGTCCACCTTCGCCTCTCTGACCACTGACCAGATGGTGCTTATTTGCTTCGTATTTGTCATGGTGTGATTTACAGAACACATAATCTATCCAAACGTAAATGAAAAACACCAACGTCTTACTGTTTACAAGTTTTACTGTGTTGAGGTCAAAGTCTTTCAAAATTGACGTTCATGAAAGGTTAGTGTCATATTTTCCCAACCTCTCCACTGGTTATTGCTCTGTTAGGTAACAACGCCACAGTTAATGAATCCTACTAACAAATTGGCTATGTGTGTGCAGGAGACGTTAATAGTGTGTACGAGTATGTGTGTGTGTACAGGAGACATTAATAGCGTGTATGTGTGTGTACAGGACGCACTATACACACACACACACACACTAACTGGTCTCAATGTCGTGTAGATTTGCATGATATTAAATGGTCAGTGTTTTTTCAGAAGAGTATGTGATACATTCAACAATATGTCTCCACGACCTAGAGACGGGTGTACCTATTATAATTTAGTCCCATAAATAACATCAAGTACTCAATAACTTCCTATATTAAGTAGAGAAACAATGAACAATTTATCTAAACGTCATATACAGTTAAGTCATTGTTCATATCTTAAATTTATTGTTCGATTTCTAAGTCAAAGTATATATTAACGTCACTTTTAAAGGTTAAGCTTCAAAAGGAAAATATACTCGACACATTCTGATCATTTAGTCAAAGAGGCGGAGTAGGTCACATGAGATCCGCCTCCGTCTCCACCATGCACGAACAGGTCAGAAGTTGTCAAGAGCTGTGAGGGGGAAAGGTAAAGGTTTAGCTGGATCGTTCGTTCTTATCTACCACCAAACATCTAGCAAAATGCATGGAAACCTCAACTGTGCCTCGGTTATTCATGTTTAAATTCATTATTATTATTGATGATACTATTAGTGTGATTTGGAAGAGTATGCCGTCACAGGTATCCAGCATTAAGACACGAACGAGCCGTCAAGAAGCACATTGTAAAACATAAGTCGCGTCAACTGCTACTCGCCAACATGGTAACACTGTGTCAGCAACTAAAGAACTAAAAACATTTTAGTGGCGTATTCTGGGACACATATTTTGGCAGCTCAGCAAGAGAGAAACAAGACACAACATGAGTATAGAATAAAACTCAATATATACCACCAGTTGGTGTACAGGAAAAAAAACAATAATATATACAGTACCTAATGAGTCAGGGTGAGAATATATTCCAAGTTGTAAGGACGGGAAGAAAACATTAGAATACACTACTCTACGACGTATATTGACATGAATATATATACTATATATATGTATAAGATATAAGAGAAGACCCGACCTAACAGGTATACCCAATTAGGTGGGATTTGAAAAACATGTTATCGGGAACAAATAAACGCACACACGCATTCACACCTTTACATAATGTTTATATGACCCTTCTACCTCCACATACCACCAACATTCAACACTAAGAATGTTTCACCCCCACAACCAAACGAGTTAACACAATTTAATGACTTAGAAAATGTTTTACACTACACTCAGTCAAAGTCAAATGAGCTCCTGTTAAAATAGACTCCAATCTAACCTAATCTACTGGGTTGATGAGGTTAGGTTAGGTTTGGTTTATTTAGGTTTATTTTGGTTAGGTTAGGGAAAGGCATGTTAAGTTAGGGTTAGATTAGGTTTGGTTAGGTTAAGGTTGGGACTTACTGAGAGTGTGATTATAAAACTAAACAAGAAAAAAACTTAATTATACTTACGATTTTCATTGACCAAGGTGGTAATGGTGAATGATAGTGATATATAGTAAAGAACACAATGGTGAAATATAGTGACATGATGAAGAACTCAGTGGTGTAGGATGGTAATGAGCTTAATGGTGAATAATGGTGATAACGAGTTAGAATTTTAATGGTGAATTTTATTGGTGATATTCTCAAAGGCACCAAGCAAAGCCATTATTCCCTCCCTGCCTTGAGGAAATAAGGGAACGTGATGAACCTAGTGACCTGGTGACCACAATGCATCAATAAACCAAACCAATTTCACCATTACAGTTACAGACTAAGTGGTACAGGTGTAACTCTCTCTTAATACTGCTGAACCATTTATTAAAGTCTTATTATAATGTACGAGTATTGCGTTCACTATAATGCTTTGACGTTTATCTCTACTGTATTTTCTCTCTTTCTCTCTCTTTCTCTCTCTTTCTCGCTCACATTAATGTTTTCTTTCTTTCTGTTATTCTGTATCTTTTCTCTTTCTCTCTACTATTCTTTTTCCATCTGTCTTTCTCTCATTTATTTTATCTCTCTCTCTCTCTCTCTCTCTCTCTCTCTCTAAACACCTAACTCATTGACTCTCTTCTCCACGTTCCCAGTTCTTCGTGTGGGCGACCATTGCTGGGTGTTCCTGAAAGATAAACAAACTATTAGATTGAGAGTGTGTGTGTGTGTGTGTGTGTGTGTGTGTGTGTGTGTGTGAGTAATATAGATGTGTATATGAATTAAACAGACAAATATTTTCAAGTAGACGATGATTTATGTCTGTAAATATAACACAATATGAATGAATCTATGAACCTAACCTAACACTAACACTAACCTAACCTATCCTAACCCTAACCTATCTTAACCTATCCTAACCCTAACCTAACCTATCCTAACAGACACTAATATAAAAAACAATAACAAAACATAAGGTCTGTAAAAGGAAAAATAAACAAGAACGTAAAAAAAAAAACTGGTCTGTCGGGAAGTTAAGAGACAGACTCAAGAAAAGTGAAAAATACATCACACTCTTGGGAACAGAAAACGATACCAATTATTCTCTTATATCAAACTGTTATTTAAGTTTATTTTATCCTAACTTCTTCAATACACAAATACCAATATATTTATCAATTACATACCTAACCTAACCTAACCTAATCTAACCTAACCTAATCTAACCTAACCTAACCGAAATTACCAAGTACCAATAAGTGAAGATTAGAAATACCATCAAATGCTTTAAATCTCTATCGTATATAATGAGATTAAAGAGGAGGAGGAATGGGGGGTAGGAAGTCGCCCTGTCAAACGCCGTAAAAGTTGACAGAGTTGAAAGACATTTTACGGATAAGTTAAGAGAAGTGACAATTAATATACTAGAGTTTCATGCTCACTGTGGGATTAATTATGGGAAATACGAATCACTGACAAGAAATGAGAATTAATGAGAAATACTTATAATTAACGCTTACTAAACAAAACGGATTATAAAAACTAAGAATCAAATAATATAAATATATAAGACAGATTTAATTACGGTTTAATTAAATATACCTGCGTTAAATGGACTTAGACAGCCTGTAGAGAAATGGGGTACAATTATATTTCTTGTTCATATTATCATCAGTATTTACCAATGATAACAAAGGTAACATAACAACTCTTACTACCTGTTAACCTTGAAGTGATTTAGTGCCAGTAGACCATATGTCATACGTAGGTTAATGCCAGTGTTAAGGTAAGTTATGGTTAATTAGTGCCATTGTTAAGGTAAGTTATAGTTAATTAGTGTCACTGTTAAGGTAAGTTATGGTTAATTAGTGTCACTGTTAAGGTAAGTTATAGTTAATTAGTGCCAATGTTAAGGTAAGTTATAGTTAATTAGTGCCAGTGTTAAGGTAAGTTATAGTTAATTAGTGCCAGTGCTAAGGTAAGTTATAGTTAATTAGTGCCACTGCTAAGGTAAGTTATAGTTAGTGCCACTGCTAAGGTAAACTACAGTACTGTTAACATACAAGGTTAAACAAGGCACAACAATAAACCATAACAGTTAATACACATAATGGTTTAACTTACCTAACATCTATCTATAACATCACAACAACTAAATTATATAATGGAGGATTAAATTATAGGGAATTATTAAAACATACTCTTGTACTCTATCAAAATTCTAATTATCTCTTAAATAATTCATAATCATTACATAAGTATTGCATATTATCTCACTTTGTAATGTTGAGATGCTTAGGGAATAAAGAAACATTGATAACTCATGTTAAAGCGAAAATATGATATGATAATACGAAGATAATTAATAATGAAAGAAAAATAATTGATTCGTCCACCTTATTAGAAAGAAAGTGATCAGTCAGGCGTCATTTAAATATTAGTTTGGTTACATGTTTACGAAAATGCCTTGATTTTTTCTCTTTACTGGCGATGTTAACTGGACGTATCTAGTTAGGGTAGAGCCTCAATGTAATTTTGTTAAGTGAACGTATCTAGTTAAAGTAGAGCCTCTATAACGGTAAAGCCGCTTCTAACGTTATATCTGTGTTTAAACCAATTAGCGCTGTTCCCAAGTCTTCCAGTTAGGAGCAAAAATCTATCTTTAAGATTTTCCGTAATCCTTAACTCGAGCGTCTCCGTACACACACATTACTTCTTGAGATATATAACTTGAAGCTTATGGAGGATATTAAGAAGAGTTATATTAGGTGTTCAAGACTGGCACGAGGTCGACCTTGAACTCTCCTTAATGTCTGGAGAAATTCAAGGAGGTGTTTAATTCTCCTTCAGTCAACAATATGTGCTCACTTCAGGATGACGCAACTTTTATTCCGCTTTAGTCTAGAAAAAAACACTAATGCAGACATGAGGTAAAGCTACATAAACAAACAAAAATAAAACTATTGCTTAATTTAGGTATAAACGAAAACAAATCCATAGAGGAAGTGATAAAAATGGTTAGATGAGGAAATCGATAAATAGAGATATGGGATAATAAAGATTATATATATAAACATAATGAAATACAACATGCACTGGGTCTCTAAGAGGTCTAGTTTACTTTATATGATAATAATCTGGGGAGAGTCATAAGGGGTGGTACATTAACACGTCTCGGGAACTGTGTGGTGCTGGGGTACAGTAACACGTCTCGGGAACTGTGTGGTGCTGGGGTACAGTAACACGTCTCGGGAACTGTGTGGTGCTGGGGTACAGTAACACGTCTCGGGAACTGTATGGTGCTGGGGCACAGTAACACGTCTCGGGAACTGTGTGGTGCTGGGGTACAGTAACACGTCTCGGGAACTGTGGTGTTGGGGGCACAGTAACACGTCTCGAACTGTATGGTGCGGGCAAACGTCTGGAACTGTGTGGTGCTGGGGTACAGTAACACGTCTCGGGAACTGTATGGTGCTGGGGTACAGTAACACGTCTCGGGAACTCTGAAGGAAGGTGAGAGAGTAGCGGGCACCGTGAAGGGGTCGGGGATGGGGGAGGGGGGGAGCATAAAGTATTTTGAAGAACGGTATCTGACCTGGTTTGACCCGGTGATCGACCTGGTTGTTTGTCTTGAGGGAGTGTGACCTGGTGAGGGCGCTGTGGGAGGCTCGGCGCTGCCTCGGGTACTCGTCACCGCCCTGGAGGAACTCACTCCTCGTGGAAGACCTAAAACTGTGACTTCGGCGTCGCTCAAGCGGACTCATCGATACAGACAACCTCGCCTCCAAGTCCTCAGCTGACATACACAGTAGCGACAACACATTAACACATGCTGGCACAGGGTGTGAGGGTAGTGTGGAGGGGTGTATAGGCACTGGGTGTGAGGGTGGTGTGGAGGGGTGTATAGGCACTGGGTGTGAGGGTGGTGTGGAGGGGTGTATAGGCACAGGGTGTGAGGGTGGTGGAGGGGTGGAGGCACAGGTGTGAGGGTGGTGTGTGTAGGCACAGGGTGAGGTGGTGTGGGAGGGGTGTATAGGCACAGGTGTGAGGGTAGTGTGGGGGTGTGCAGGCACAGGGGTGTGAGGGGTGGTGAGGGTATAGGCACAGGTGTGGAGGGTGGTGTGGAGGGGTGTATAGGCACAGGTGTGAGGGGTGGGAGGTGTATAGCACAGGGTGGGAGGGGTGGGAGGGTGTATAGGCACAGGGTGTGAGGGGTGGTGTGGGAGGGGTGTATAGGCACAGGGTGTGTGAGGGTGGTGTATAGGCACAGGTGTGAGGGTGTGTGGGAGGGGTGTATAGGCACAGGGTGTGAGGGTGGTGTGGAGGGTGTATAGGCACAGGTGTGAGGGTGGTGTGGAGACAGGTGTGGGAAGGTGGTGTGGAGGTGGAGGCACAGGGGGAGGGTGGTGTGGAGGGGTGTATAGCACAGGGTGTGAGGGGGTGTGGGAGGGGTGTATAGGGCACAGGGTGTGAGGGGTGGTGTGGAGGGGTATAGGCACAGGGTGTGAGGGGTGGTGGAGGGGTGTGGGACAGGTGTGAGGGTGTGGAGGGGGGTGTATAGGCACAGGGTGAGGGTGGTGTGGGAGGGGTGTATAGGCACAGGGGTGTGAGGGTGGTGTGTGGGAGGGGTAGGCACAGGTGTGGGTGTGGTGTGGGAGGGGTGTATAGGCACAGGGGTGTGAGGGTGGTGTGTGTGTATAGGCACAGGGTGTGAGGGTGGTGGGGGTAGGCACAGGGAGGGGTGTGGGGAGGTGTAGGCACAGGTGGAGGGTGGTGTGGGAGGGGTGTATAGGCACAGGGTAGGGGTGGTGTGGGAGGGGTGTAGGCACAGGGGTGTGAGGGTGGTGGGAGGGGTGTAGGCACAGGGGGTGAGGGTGTGAGGTGGGTGGGAGGTGTGGAGGGGTGGCAGGCACAGGTGAGGGTGGTGGAGGGGTGTATAGGCACAGGGTGTGAGGGTGGTGGGAGGGGGGGTGTATAGGCACAGGGTGTGAGGGTGTGGGGAGGGGTGTATAGGCACAGGGTGAGGGTGGTGTGGGAGGGGTGTATAGGCACAGGGTGTGAGGGGTGGTGTGGGGGGTGTATAGGGCACAGGGGTGTGAGGGGTGGTGGGAGGGGTGTATAGGCACAGGTGTGAGGGGTGTGGAGGTATAGGCACAGGGTGTGAGGGGTGGTGTGTGGGAGGGGTGTATAGGCACAGGGGTGTGGGAGGGTGGTGTGGAGGGGTGTATAGGGCACAGGGGTGGGGGTGGGTGGGAGGGGTGTATAGGCACAGGGTGTGAGGGGTGGTGGAGGTAGGCACAGGGGTGTGAGGGTGGTGTGGAGGGGTGAGAGCACAGGTGAGGAGGGGCACAGGGGTGAGGGGTGTGGGAGGGGTGTAGGCACAGGGTGAGGGGTGGGAGGAGTGTATAGGCACAGGGTGTGAGGGTGGGGAGGTGTATAGGCACAGGGTGTGAGGGGTGGGTGGGAGGAGTGAGGCACAGGTGTGAGGGGTGGTGGAGGAGGTAGGCACAGGGTGTGAGGTGGTGGAGGGTGTATAGGACAGGGTGTGAGGGGTGTGAGGGGTGCACAGGTGTGAGGGTGTGGAGGTGTATAGGCACAGTGTGAGGGTGTGGGAGGGTAAGGCACAGGTGAGGGTGGTGGAGGGGGTGAGTAGGCACAGGTGAGGTGGTGGAGGGGTAGGTGAGGGTGGTGGAGGAGGTATAGGCACAGGGTGTGAGGTGGTGTGGAGGGGTGTAGGCACAGGGGGAGGTGGGAGGGGTGAGGCACAGGGGTGTGAGGGGGTGGTGGAGGAGGCAGGCACAGGGGAGGGTGTGTGGGAGGGGTGTATAGGCACAGGTGAGGGTGGTGTGGAGGTGGGAGAGGCACAGGTGAGGGTGGTGTGGGAGGAGGTAGGCACAGGGGTGTGAGGGGTGGTGTGGTGAGGCACAGGGGAGGGGTGGTGTGGGAGGGTGTGTAGGCACAGGTGTGAGGGTGGTGTGGGGTATAGGACAGGTGTGAGGGTGGTGTGGAGGGGTGTGTGAGGGTGGTGTGGGAGGGGTGTAGGCACAGGGTGTAGGTGTGGAGGGGTGTAAGGCACAGGTGGAGGGTGGGAGGGGTGTAGGGCACAGGGTGTGAGGGTGTGTGGAGGGGTGATAGGCACAGGTGTGAGGGGTGGTGGAGGTGGCAGGGCAGGGTGTGAGGGTGGTGTGGAGGGGGTATAGGGGCACAGGTGTGAGGGTGGTGTGGGAGGGGTGTATAGGCACAGGGGTGTGAGGGGTGGTGTGGGAGGGGTGTATAGGCACAGGGTGTGAGGGTGGTGTGGGAGGGGTGGGCAGGACAGGGGAGGGTGGGAGGGGTGTATAGGCACAGGTGTGAGGGGGGAGGGGTGGGTAGGCACAGGGGTGAGGTGTGGGGTGGGTAGTACAGGTGTGAGGGGTGGTGTGGAGGTATAGGCACAGGGGAGGTGGTGTGAGGTGGAGGCACAGGTGAGGGTAGTGTGGGAGGGTGAGTAGGCAGGGGTGTGAGGGGTGGTGTGGGAGGTGTAGGAGTGTGAGGGTGTGGAGGGGTGTAGGGACAGGGTGTGAGGGTGGTGGAGGGGTGGAGGGGCACAGGGTGTGAGGGTGGTGGAGGGGTGTAGGCACAGGGTGTGAGGGGGGTGTGGAGGGGTGTAGGGCACAGGGAGGGGTGGTGTGTGTGGGAGGGGGTGTAGGCACAGGGTGGAGGGGTGGTGGGGAGAAGGGGAGGGTGTGTGGGAGGTGTAGGCACAGGGTGTGGGAGGGTGGTGGGTGGGGTGAGGCACAGGGTGTGAGGGTGGAGGTGGCACGGTGTGAGGGTGTGAGGGGAGTAGGCACAGGGTGTGAGGGTGTGGAGGGTGGAAGGCACAGGGTGTGGGAGGGGTGGTGTGGAGGGTGGAAGGGTGGTGGTGGAGGGTGTATAGGCACAGGGTGTGAGGGTGGTGTGGGAGGGGTGTATAGGCACAGGGGTGAGGTGGGAGGGGTGTAGGCACAGGGTGTGGGAGGGTGGTGTGGAGGGGTGTATAGGCAGGTGAGGGGTGGGAGGGGTGTAGCACAGGGTGTGAGGGTGGTGTGGAGGTGTATAGGCACAGGGGTGAGGTGGTGTGGGAGGTGAAAATAGGTGTGAGGGTGGGAGGGGTGTATAGGCACAGGGGTGTGAGGGGTGTGGAGGGGTGTATAGGCACAGGGGTGTGAGGGTGGTGTGGGAGGGGTGTAGATAGGTCAGGGGTGTGAGGGGTGGTGGGAGGGGTGTATAGGCACAGGTGAGGGTGGTGTGGAGGTGATAGGCACAGGGTGTGAAGGAAAAGTTAAAAATTTTCTTGCTTGTGATACAATAGACAAAGTGTTGGAGGAGGAGAGATATAGTGTTGGTGAGGAGAGATATAGTGTTGGTGGGGATGTTGGAGGATAGTTGTAATGTAAAATGAAGGAGAGAGGAGTTAATGGAGAGGAAGCAGTAGTGAGAATGAATATGTATGTATGTATGTATGTATGTATGTATGTATGTATATTAGGGGTTAGGAGGCATAGTAGAAGCTATCGGTTATCAAGATGAAGATAACAGCTACAGCAGAATATGGTGTTTAAGAGATAGTGCAACAGGCATTTAGATACGAGTGACAGAACGAGGAAGATCACATGATAACTATTGCCAACACTCAGATGGTTGTCACACTAAGCTTCAACACTGACATGATGAAGGAAGAGGAGAATGTGGGGTTATGATTTGAGGTGAGTAGGGAGGAGAAGACTCATGATATAGACATGATACACATTATTAGACATGAGAAGACATGGGCATTATATCATACACAAGATACGACATGACATTCAGTCTCCACATGTAAAAAAAAAAAAAACAATCATTTACTGACCACACTGAAACACTATCAAAAAGTTCATTAGTATTGGCAGCAAAAAAATGTATATTGTTTTATGTGGCAGTCAAGTCAAACAGTAAAACAAGCAAGCAATTTTTAGTTTAGTTTAACATGTTATTCCACTGAGGATGAATGATGTCACGTGGCCACGACAGAGAAAGCCTTTGGGGCACCAGAAAGCGACATCAACTCACCTGTTACCGATGATCATTACGTTTAGAGTTACCTGTGAACCGTGTACAGGTGTAGGTGTGTAGGTGTGTGTGAACGAAGGCAGTATATAGTTCTGTCTTAGTTTTTAGCAGCGCTTTACATGACTATTATTTGAAAGAGAGAGAGAGAGAGAAAAAAAGAGAGAGAGAGAGAGAGAGAGAGAGAGAGAGAGAGAGAGAGAGAGAGAGAGAGAGAGAGAGAGAGAGAGAGAGAGAGAGAGAGAGAGAGCCTACCTCCCACAAGTTAACACAGACACTGACTGGTTAGAAGCTCATCTGGCCTCCATGTGCATTTCCCATCAATTTTTTTTACCTCACACGTTTTAGTGCCTCCAAATTATGTGAGGACGAGCCATAAAAGTTACTATGGCGCCTTTAACCCTGTAAGCACGTCATCACAAATATCCTGCATTGCAACTTTTACCATTACAAGCTGAGTGCCGGCCCTGATGTATAAATAACTCAGGGGTAATAATCACGGGTTTAACGGTACAACAACAGGAAACTTTACCTTCCGTTGTCAGCTGTAAGACACCCACAACGGCATCTTAACCCTCCGTTGTCAGCCGTAAGACACCCAAACGGCACTTACCCTCCGTTGTCAGCTGTAAGACACCCACAACGGCACTTAACCTCCGTTGTCAGCTGTAAGACACCCACAACGGCACCTTAACCTCCGTTGTCAGCAAGACACCCACAACGGCATTGACCTCCGTTGTCAGCCGTAAGACACCAACGGACCTAACCTCCGTTGTCAGCCAAGACACCCCAACGGCACTTTGACCCTCCGTTGTCAGCCGTAAGACACCCACAACGGCACCTTAACCCTCCGTTGTCAGCCGTAAGACACCCACAACGGCACCTTAACCTCCGTTGTCAGCTGTAAGACACCCACAACGGCACCTTAACCCTCCGTTGTCAGCCGTAAGACACCACAACGGCATCTTAACCCTCCGTTGTCAGCTGTAAGACACCCACAACGGCACCTTGACCTCCGTTGTCAGCCAAGACACCCCAACGCACCTTAACCTCCGTTGTCAGCCGTAAGACACCCACAACGGCACCTTAACCTCCGTTGTCAGCTAAGACACCCAAACGGCACTAACCTCCGTTGTCAGCTGTAAGACACCCACAACGGCACCTAACCTCCGTTGTCAGCTGTAAGACACCCACAACGGCACCTTAACCTCCGTTGTCAGCCGTAAGACACCCACAACGGCACCTTAACCCTCCGTTGTCAGCTGTAAGACACCCACAACGGCACCTTGACCCTCCGTTGTCAGCTGTAAGACACCCACAACGGCACCTTAACCCTCCGTTGCCAGCTGTAAGACACCCACAACGGCAACTTAACCCTCCGTTGTCAGCTGTAAGACACCCACAACGGCACCTTAACCCTCCGTTGTCAGCTGTAAGACACCCACAGTGCCATCTAAGACACCCACAGTGCCATCTAAGCCACTCTGTTCTGTGGTAACGGATAAAAACTTACCGTTTGAGAACCTTTTTGAAAACAGTTTTTGATTCTGTCTGGGTCTGTTGCTTCTTCAGTTGGTGGTTGACCCTAGAGAGGCTACTCACCCTCCAGCACGGAGATACACAGTTACCCCTTGAGCACCACAAAGAAAAACTTACCCTTGACACCAAATTAAAACTTACCCCTGAAAACCAGCTAAAAACTCAACCTTGAACACCAGAAAAACACTCACCCTTGAACTCAGGACTGGAGGAGGACTGGTAAGCTACAGAGGAACGCCTTGACTGGGGCAGCGAGTGGGGGTAGGAGCGGGAGAGCTGGTACACCTCGTTCTCGGCCTGCTCGCTCAAGGATGACCCTCGTCTGGAGGGTGACCTAGCACGGGGAGAGACACCTGAGCATGGGCTAGTAGTGGGGGGAGGAGAGGGGAGCGGTGGTTGTTATGGTGGATTCTGGTGGGCGGGTTTGTGTCATTGTGGTACAGAAATATATTTTGTGAATAATGATTTAAGGATTGATGCTTTACATATACACACATTATATATATATATATATATATATATATATATATATATATATATATATATATATATATATATATATATATATATATATATATATATATATATATATATATATACTATGTAGATCCACAATGAAAACGTGATAGATAGTCTTGATAATTAGTAAATGGTTTGAGTATTCTCTGAAGATGTCTTGAAGAAAGACGAAAGCTAAGGTGCTCCGTTGTTTCCTTTTTCCCGTGTGATTTTATCAAGATATATATATATATATATATATATATATATATATATATATATATATATATATATATATATATATATATATATATATATATATATATATATATATGCATATAAACCTATTATACTTATACACACTCATGAGATAAATATACATCGATCATTATTATATAAAGAGCAGAGTTATCTGTGTATACCGGCTCAGAGGAGGAGTTATTGTGGGCAACAGGTAAGGTATGAGGTGAAGTAGTCCCAGGTAGGTCATGAGGGACAGTGTGTACCGGTCTCACTTAGTACAACAATGGGTGTTAAGTGTGGTGGATACCTTAAGGTGTTTACAGGTGTTGAGATACTGTGGTGGTGCCACACACACACATATACACCCCCCACACACACACACGCATATACCCCGACACACACACATCCCCCCACACACACACATCCCCCCACATACCCCCACACACACACAATGCCATACCCCACACACACACATCCCCCCCCACACACACACCCCCCCCCACACACACATATACACCCACCACACACGCACACGCATATACCCCCACACACACACACATCCCCCCCACACACACACCCCCCACACACACACATACACCCCCCACACACACACACACGCATATACCCCCACACACACACCCCCACACACACACACATACCCCCCACACACACACACACCCCCCACACACACATACCCCTCACACATACACTCTTCTACACACACACACACACACACCCACACATACCCCCAACACACACACACACACACACTCCACACATACCCCCACACACACCCCACACACACACATACCCCCACACACACACTCTTCACACACACATCCCCCACACACACATACCCCCCCCACACACACACTCCACATAGCCCCCACACACACCCCCACACACACCCCCCACACACACATCCCCCCCACACACACACATCCCCCCACACACACCCACATTGCCCCACACACACCCCACACACACACTCCACACATACCCCCACACACCCCCCCACACACACACCCCCACACACACATCCCCACACACACATCCCCCACACACACACATACCCCCCACACACACACACTCCACACATAGCCCCCCACACACCCCCACACACACACCCCCACACATACCCCCACACACATACCCCCCACACATACCCCCCATACACACTAGCGTCAATATTCATCAGCTCATCACCTGTAAACACCACAAATACCTTTATAGTTAATAAGAGTTTAAAGTCATTTCTCTTGTGTGGGTAAGAGAAACAGCTGACACTGATCGATGGTAACCTGCACATTCATTATCCTTCATAAACATAAACATCATCTTTTACATATCATTTTTACCTTAATTAATCTCTATAACTTACCTGCGCTTCAAAAAGTTAAAACAAACCCAAAAATCTCAATACATTCTCTTAATGTTTTGGTCTGCATTGAAAAAAAAAATTATGTAGCAGTCATCATTGAAAAAATAGTTCTATATTTCTACTAAACAAAAGGTCAGACATCATCATGCAGTATGGTGACACAAAAAAAACTGCATGACCACAAAAAATGAGACACAAACAATCACTTCTAGCTACAGGTAACATGGAAGAACATTACTCAACCAGAATGCCCCCCCCAAAAAAATAGAGTATTTATGTCTCACTAACCTGCATTGCCCCCACTGATGAAAAGTTTGTTAGTAAGTGCAAATATTGTGTCGATCATTACAGGCTGGTCTATATATATATAAAAAACGGGCAATAAAGTAATACATGCAAGGAATTTGGTGTTCTTTGACTGACAACTTCACCATCTTGTTTATCAGTCGTGATGGCGTGTGGGCATTAGTCATAAATCTTAACAGAGAATTTAATTGTCAGTTTTGTAGCATATACAAACTTGTCTCCAGTGTGGCCTTGTGAGAAGAGCCACGTAATTACACATACACACATACACACACTCGCACGCGCACAAACAAGCTCATACACCCACACAAACACAGAAACAATCATCACTCACATACATTTACAGGCGCATTCATGAACACAGCTGCCAGACTTTTATATATAGCAATGAAACGAATGATGCAATACTCTCGAGTCAGCGGTCCTGGCAAATGACACAAGCGGGAGTGAGTGTGTCGTGTAGAAGGTGGTGAACACACAGGTACACGGTGTATGGTGACCTGCTCACCGGTGATGGGGACCTATGGGGTATCTTGGCTAAATAGTTCCTCAATATCCCTAACCTAACCTATATAATGTGTGGAGTATTAACTAAAAGAAAGCTTAAGGATTATGTAAAAAAAAGGAAAAAAAAAATCCTCTGAAAATCTAGTTAATTTCCAATAAAAAAATTACATAACTCTATAACTTCGCCTCTGAATGACGATATAAAACCCTTGTGTAATATCATATACAAAACTCCTATTGAGTATTAGCCCTAAACTCTCCATTAGAACTTTACAGTCAGTTCCCCGTCAACAACACGAGATGGATAACCTGGAACACAGCCGCGAGTATTGTCACCAAAAGCGTTTCATATTGCCATATAAGTGTGCCGGACTCGTCAGCTAGGAGCACCTTGTTTCTTTACACTTACTTGTGACAGCAGAAAGCGGAAGACGGCAGAAGGAAGAGTAGTAAATGAATTAGATAGTCGAAAAACACAGGACGTGGCAACTCAAAGGCTATCTTTTTTTGTTCCCTGGCCTTAGTTGTTTACAATAGATCACAACAACCTACAGATCTAGGGTCATTTGTGTATGTGCATGTAGACAGTATGTGGATGGTAGACTGTGTGTGTATGTGAGTATGTGTGTATGAGTGAGAAAGTACATGTTTGTGGTGTGGTGGTGGGGGTGGGAATTAGAGTGCACGTGAGAATTATAGAGTGCAGGTGAGACAGTCAAGAGTGCAGGTGAGACAGTCAAGAGTGCAGGTGAGACAGTCAAGAGTGCAGGTGAGACAGTCAAGAGTGCAGGTGAGACAGTCAAGAATGCAGGTGAGACAGTCAAGAATGCAGGTGAGACAGTCAAGAGTGCAGGTGAGACAGTCAAGAGTGCAGGTGAGACAGTCAGAGTGCAGGTGAGAGGTAACATAAACAACTGTGACGTGTAAACAAAAACACACGAGGTAGGTATGAATCACGGGAATCCTGCCACCTCACCACAGGAGCCCAACACCACGTTATCCATACGTCAACAAATATATCAAAACCTAGAAACACGAGAAAGTATCCAACTAAACTTATCTCTCATAGGAATAACAAAGGTGCTGAAACGTATGGAACCTTTGTGAATCCCGATCTCAAGTTAGAGTCTGGTGGTACCCGAAACCTCTGTTGTGTTTATACTGTGTCCAGGTGATAGGAATTGGACTGTTAGGATGGAGTGTGTTGTGAGGAGAACCATTATATTACCGTTCTGACGCGATGCATTTCAGTTTAAGTTTATTTTTTTTTTCTCTTCCTCTCTCTCTCTCTCTCTAAATCCATTACATATCTGTCAATCCAGTTAATTATCCATCTATGTATCTATGTACCTGTTTGTTTATTTATCTTATCATTAACCTATATATCAATGTATCAGTCTATTTATCCATCTACTCGTTATTATTCTGTTCCTAATTGTACCAAGTGAGAAGAACAAAACTCAAGATACATGTGGCCTCCTTCCCTCACCAAGACACATGTGGCCTCCTTCCCTCACCAAGACACATGTGGCCTCCTTCCCTCACCAAGACACATGTGGCCTCCTCCCTCACCAAGACACATGTGGCCTCCTTCCCTCACCAAGATACATGTGGCCTCCTTCCCTCACCAAGACACATGTGGCCTCCTTCCCTCACCAAGACACATGTGGCCTCCTTCCCTCACCAAGACACATGTGGCCTCCTTCCCTCACCAAGACACAGTGGCCTTCTTCCCTCACCAAGACACATGTGGCCTCCTTCCCTCACCAAGACACATGTGGCCTCCTTCCCTCACCAAGACACATGTGGCCTTCTTCTCTCACCTCACCATATGGATGGCTGGTCATCCGTTAACCCAAGACAACGTAGGTGGTACTTCCTCATGCTGTTATGGACTCAAATTAGTCTTCTGATCATTTTATCAAAGGAGAGACAAAACTTCTGCCTTGGTTTGGGAATATTTCCATGTGTTCTGTTCAGCTCAAGTGATCAAGGGTGACCAAGACCTCGTGACTGGCTGTGTCAGGTCAAACTTGTTATACGACATTCCTCACTCGTCAGAAGTACGACCACTGACAACAGGAAAAGTGTAAACTCTGCTGAATAACTCAACACAAATCTCTATTATTTGTTGATATATATTTATGTCTTTACATAAGTCGAGAAAATTTGAAAAACTAACATGTTTTTGTGTTGATTAAAATGAGAACAAAATTATTTCATAAATTAATTATACACTCGAGTGTAAAGTTAACTGACGCAAGCAAAACTTCTGACACAGTTTTAGAAGAAAGAGAAAAATAACCTATTTTACTCTAACTTGTAACAAAATGTTATACAGTTCATCGTATAATATAAAACTAAAACTTTTTGTAAAATCTGCGAGTTTCTTAAGGTGTCGAGGCTGAAGTAATAGACGTTTATGTAATATAAAGAGTTTGATGAGAGTTAAGTCACCAGGTTATATCTCAACTCAGCGTGTACTAAAGGTAATATATTGACTGGACAGGCACACGCCAGAAACGAGAGCGCCACAGACCTCTGGCACATTTGACCTTTGACCTTCGACTGTGACCTTGATCTTTCACACAAGCTTGAATGTTCAATACGCCATGTCAACCAGGGAAGTCTCCGCCTGCCTTCACTATATATGAAACCTTAACCTTAAAGACAGACAGACAGACAGACAACGCTAACTCAGGCAATATTACAGTCCAAAATCATTGTTGCCATAAAAGCGACACACGTAAGATCGACCCTGCTGGTAGTAGTCGTCTGCCATATTGGCCAGTCCCCCCTAAAACAGTGCACCTTGGCCCACTAGTATTCGCTGGGATCTTAATGATACATTGAAGTAAGTAGCTTTAATTTTAGGTTCTCTCGAGGTCACAGTATTAGTAGTGTGTCAACAGGGGGCGGAGAGTGGGGGCTGCCTACCGCCTCCTCGTGTAAACAATAACATTACCCCGTACAGCTCCTCCCAGACCCTCTTGCTCATCGTTCCTAACTCTGCCAAACTGCTTTTACGATGGTCATTCTCTCTCACATCTCCAACAACAAAATACACACACACACACACACACACACACACACACACACACACACACACATAAAGTAATCGTTTTAAGTCGTTCCAATAATTATGTTCTTAACATCACATTTATTTTTTACCATCATTTATTCACAGACGTTTATCGGTATTGACAGACATTATCGGTTTACAGAGATATTTATCGGCATAGAGAAACATAGTCGACAGAGAGACATTATCAGAATACGAAACCAAATTACCGGTATAAAATCTTTGTGTGAGAGAGAGAAAGAGAGAGAGAGACTGTTGACATAAAAAAAAAATATACCTATATCAGCAAAGAGACACCATATCAACACGGATATATCGATCGACCTATAGGGACACATCACCACACACAGGGACACATACTTCCTATAACCAAAACAAACAGTAAGAGACCATGTGTATAAGAAGGGAGGAAACGTATAAAGATTATACAATATGATATACACAAACCAGAGTGTATAAAAAAATATACCCAAGTGATCAACAAACATACAATAAAAATGAAAACAAATTAACATACAGACGGAAAAAGATACATAGAGAGATTAAAAGATAGATAGATACGATTAAATTGGATTAAGATGTCCAGGTAAAGGTATACATAGATAATATATATTTCATAGGTAAGTAGATGCAATACTTAATTACAGGTATACTAGACAAATAGATGGGTTGAATAGGTGGATAGATGGATAGATAGAATATATAAGAGGAGTTGGCTAGCTTGTGTGTGTGTGTGTGAGTGTGTGTGTGTGTGTGTGATACAAGGATGATAGAGTGCGTTACCTCACGGTCTAGTGGAGAGTGAGTTAGAATGTGGTGTAATATGTGGTATAGAGTGTGGTGTAGAGTGTGGTGCAGAGAGTGGTGTAGAGTGTGGTGTAGAGTGTGGTGTAGAGTGTGGTGTAGAGTGTGTTGTAGAGTGTGGTGTAGAGTGTGTTGTAGAGTGTGGTGTAGAGTGTGGTGTAGTGTGGTGCAGAGTGTGGTGTAGAGTGTGGTGTAGAGTGTGGTGCAGAGTGGTGCAGAGTGTGGTGTAGAGTATAGAGGTGGTGCAGAGGTGTAGAAGTATAGAGTGTGGTGCAGAGTGTGGTGTAGAGTGTGTTGTAGGTGTGGTGCAGAGTGTGGTGTAAAGTGTGGTGTAGAGGTGTGGTGCAGAGTGTGGTGCAGAGTGTGGTGTAGAGTATATAGAGTGTGGTGAAGAGCATAGAGTGTGGTGTAGAGTGTGGTGTAGAGTGTGGTGCAGAGAGTGGTGTAGAGTGTGGTGCAGAGTGTGGTGTAGAGTTTAGTGTGTGATGTAGAGTGTGTTGTCAGGTAGAGTGCAGTGTCAGGATTTGGTGTCAGGTACAGTGTGATGTCAGGGTGTGGTGTCAAATACGGTGTGGTGTCAGGTCATGGTGTCAGAGTATAAAAAAGAACTCAAGTGACATAATCTGATACTTATTATTCCCCTACAATTACGTGTCATCGTATATATCGGTCGAGTGTTTGTCTGTCAGAGCAATTATACTCCTACTGTTCATTTGGGTGAATAATAATAATAATAATAAAACGCTCTGCGACTGTCACTTGTTTTCTTTTGTTTACATCTGATGAGTCTACCTACAGGAGCAGGTTCCAATACCTTCTCTTTATGAACTCTCTATTGATCCTCACAAATTACAAGATAGCCACCATAGTATTTATATTCTATTACGGGGGATTGACAGATAATTTTTTAGATTGTTATTTCCCAGTGGTTGAAAATCTGATGTTTGGGGATTTCATGGGATTAGTTTTTAGATGGATCTCCTTTAAAAAAATTCGTTCAGGAAATTCGGAGTTTTAGAAGAGTTTAGTTAGGATGCCAATACTTGTATTTCTCTTATTTTCGATAGAGTAAATTTTCCAAATGGCTCTGACAAACAGATGTTCATTCCTGGATGGTTTCTGCTCCTGTAAGGTTGTTTGGGACATATATAACTACCTCATTCTATAACCTCATGTCGTTTATTAAAATATTCATAAACTGCATTACTATTCAACTCTCCTCATATCTACATAAGGGGGTTTCAATACTAACGAAAGGAACAAATCCTAATATACTTCAACGTCTACCTTCAGTACATTAACATACATCCACTATGCTTAAGTAAATCTACTTTTACTGAACAGATAAATAAAAACAATCACTTGAAAATAATGAAAGTTTTGTCTGAATATCAGTGTAAAACAAATGAGCATCAGATCCACAAGACAGGATGCGATACTACAATTCTTTTGATAAACAAAGATCATTGTCTTAGTGAACACAATAAAATAATATACTACAATAAGATCCATAAACAAGTGAGCATTTGCCTTACTAGAATAATACAAGACAAGATACCAGTAATCTTACAAATAATAGCAGAGAAATCGTTCCTACAATACAAGAGCGCTTAAAAAAAGACTAGACTACTTACTATTAAATTAACCAACCAAATAAACAACTGCCCTACGATACAAGATCCAAGACTACACTAAAGTCTATAAACAGGTGAGCAATGAACCAGCACAAGCGGATCCGACACTACGGCAAGGTACCTTGATTCTCTCCAGGCGAGATCAGGATGAAGGAGACCGGAGTCCAGGGAGGAGTTTCTGCTGTCTTCACCATCATCTGTAGGAGGTCAACAGGTAAGACAGGTGAACAATTAGAGGTTTGGCTGGACCTGGAACCTTGTAGGGAATGAGAGAGGTCAGCATTTGAGAGCTAAAGAATCATATCTCTCCGTGACTCGTTGGTGAACTTTGACCTCTGTAGGGGTTGTGTTATACCAGCTAGCAGGTACAAGAACACGGTTACTGGACATCAAAGGTATAATACATCAAAACTAATCACTTCACTACCGCATACCTCATTTTATATACAAATTAATTCCCATCTTTACCAGTCATAGAGCGTCCTTGTCTCTGTAAAATCTACACAACAGAACAAAGATAGCTATTTACCTCTCGACTTTACTCAAACACATGAACCAAAAATTCTCCTCGTCTCTCTAACGTTATGTTAATGAGAGAGGACAAAACCCTGTGTCAACACTGGTCATGAAACGTCAGGTGTGAAAGCGACTACCTGTGGAAATTCAGAGTAAAAAAATATCTTAATATGTGAGGAAGATTTTTACTAGAATGTCTGCAGGTGTGTCTCCCATTTTTTTCTCTGTCTGTCTGTCTGTCTGTCTGTCTGTCTCTTTCTTTGTCTGGATTTTTGTTCCTGTCCCTGTCTTTGTTTGTCTCTCTCTCTCTCTCTCTCTCTCTCTCTCTCTCTCTCTCTCTCTCTCTCTCTCGTCGTGTAAACTTCCTCCACAAATCCTTTCGTTCAAAAAACTTTAGTTGAAAAATAATCTGGACACGTTGATCTAAATCCCACTATGTATCATCCGTGTGTGTCTGTAGTTGTTATCATGTATCATCCGTGTGTGTCTGTGTGTGTGTGTCTGTGTGTGTGTGTGTGTCTGTGTGTCTGTGTGTGTGTCTGTAATAATATGTCCTTTTCATACACTTGAGGGCAATAGTAAGTTAATGTGCATAAATTTGTTAAAAAATCTTAAAAAATATAATGATATAATTTTCATAGCATTTTACGGACACTACAGACAGACAGACAGACAGACAGACAGACACACACACATACACAGACAGACACACACACAGACAGACAGACAGACAGACAGAGCCAGACAGACAGATATAGACACACTAGTCCCAGAGCGTTCGAGCAATAATATGATCTCGTAAATTCTGATTCAAACTCCTGAATATGCAAATGACTTTCTCCCAGCTATCAAAGGGCTTTAATCCACCGTGTGCCGCCGCTGGTAATTGTTACAACCAACCACCTGTTAAAAAATTTTCCTCCTTGTGATGAGTATTTGTGAGTATTATCGAGGGTTTTTCTTTCTAATGATTGGAATATCGTGTCGGAGGATAAAGTTATAAGGAAGTATTGATTAAAGGTGTGTGGCCAGAGATGAGGGATTATTCTCTCTCTCTCTCTCTCTCTCTCTCTCTCTCTCTCTCTCTCTCTCTCTCTCTCTCTCTCTCTCTCTCTGTCTCTCTCTCTCTCTCTCTCTCTCTCTCTCTCTCACCTGATCCTGAACGCACGGACGAGGGCCTCCTGATGGGGGGTGCCGTGAAGTCGTAGGAGATGATGGAGCCGCGGGGTGTGGCGTTGGCGCTACGGGAACGTCTCTCCTGAAGGCGGTACCAGGTAGGTCGCTCGTCCAGGTAAGCGTGTCTCAGGTCAATCAGCGTCTCACCTGCGGTAATCGGAAATTCCATAAAGGGTTTTTATCTGTGGAAATCAGCACCACAAAATTCGGAAGCTTCTCACCTGTAGGCAATCATCAGAGCCATTAGTGTCTCACCTGTGGCAATCAGCAGAGCCATTAGTATCTCACCTGTTGCAGTCAGGATAGCTATTAGCATCTCAACCGTGGAAATCAGATAATCCAAACAGTATTTTAACCTTTGGAAATCAGTGAATCAAGAACCTTTTCACCTGTGGCAGTCAGGAGACCTATAGGCGTCTTACCTGTGGCAGTTTAAGAATCCTGTTATGAGGGAATTCCAGGTGTTTGCCCTTGAGAATGACTGTCGGGGTTATTTTAATGGAAGATTCTGAATACCCACAAGAAGAAAGAAAGAAAGAAAGAAAGAAAAAGAAAAAACGAGAAGAGAGAGAGAGAGAGAGAGAGAGAGAGAGAGAGAGAGAGAGAGAGAGAGAGAGAGGAGGTCAAACGTAACTCGAATAAGCTAACAGGAATTCGTGAGAGATAATGAGACAAGTGAGATAACCACAGGGAGAGATAATGAGACAAGTGAGATAACCACAGTGAGAGATAATGAGACAAGTGAGATAACCACAGTGAATATGATGATTTAACCCTTGAGTACGATGGCATTGTATTCAGGGGCTTAGGTCATCGTTGTCAAATAGTTAAACTAATTTTCCCGTGTTTTCCTAATTATTCCATTTCTGGCCTAATTACCCCTCCTTTCCTCCTAATTATCCCCTTTTTAGCCTAATTATACTTTGTTCCTTTAATACTTCCCCTTTTCCCTACTTACACTCCCCTTTATGGGCCTAATCACTCCATTTTATGAGCTAATTTACCCCCCCCCCCTATTATGGGCCTAATTACCCCTATTTTACCTCAGTGTCCAATTAAAGTGACACTATCAATGTTGGATTCACGACACAAAATAAATAAATCACGAAAATTTTAAACGCGAAACTAGAATATGTATTGATATTGACTAAAGCTTAAGGTAGACTATTTGACGGATTTTCTCTATTCCTCTATCCATCTAATCCATCGAGCCATCCATTAGTCTCTCTCTCTCTCTCGTAGCCATAACTTACCCAGGAATCCATTCTCACTGTCAGATACAAAGTCCCACACAGACATCTCCAGCGTGAGGCCCATCAATGAGTCGGCCGTCAGACCCTCCCAGATGAAGGAGGAATTCCACATAGGCTTACACGAAGACTCCGCCACTCCCGTGCTGTGTATCTTGCAGTCGCTGAAGGAGAGAGAGAGAGAGTCACTTGAGGGGGCTTGGAGCTGGGTTGGGTTGGGTTGGGTGGGGTGGGGTTGGGTGGGGTGGGGTTGGGTTGGGTGGGGTGGGGTTGGGTGGGGTGGGGTTGGGTGGGGGGGTGGGGGTTGTTGGGTGGGGTGGGGTTGGGTGGGGTTGGGTTGGGTGGGTTTGGGTGTTTAATTATCATGTAAAATATACTGGGGTGCCTAAAGTTCATGTGATCCAATAAATTTAATAAAACTTGGATATCCTGAAGAAAAATAATTATGACTAAATACTTTAATTACCGGATGGGATATTAACTAAAATATTGTATAACTGTTAAAATACGAGTCAGATCATCACCAACACCAGGTCAGGTCATGTTATCATCAACACGAGGTCATGTCAGGTCATCATCAACACGGGGTCAGCAATGCGCCTCACAGTGAAGGTATGATGGTACCTGTCACCTGAGAGGCATTATGCTACGTGAAGCCAATTAATGAGGAGCATCAGTGTGACCGCCAATACCTGCTGGATGTTGCACCACATCTGTCTTAATGAGAGAGAGAGAGAGAGAGAGAGAGAGAGAGAGAGGGGGAGGTAATCAGACTCTTTGGCGAAAAGACAGAAATTCAGCTGAGTTATTAGTGTGGCTTGAAGGGTTCATATCAGGAGCTCAAAGATGGTATTACACTGTTTTCGGTGACGTGTGTGTGTGTGTGTGTGTGTGTGTGTGTGTGTGTCTACAGAAAAAAATCTTTCTTATACACGCACACACACACACACACACACACTACATCCTTGACCACCGAAGGGTCAAGACGTACCTGGCGCTCCTCTCGGAGCAGCCAGGTCAACTGTTATGTTGGCCCATACCAACTCCCTCCCCTGAACCCTCCTCCCCACCGGAATATCAACAAGTTCACGCCAGAAGTTACTATTTCATTTAGGAAAGAAATGGAACCAGTGTTAAACAGAGGTGGACAGTGGTGAACAGTGCTTAAGTCAGTGAGAACAACTCAACAGTAACAGTGGTACCCAAGTTGACCTTTCACACAGTGAGGTCCCAGGTACCCAGTGATAACGGCCCGTGAGACCCAACTACCAGCGATGTGTTAATCCGTCTACGATAGGAAGGCCTGGAACCACACCTCACTCATATAACACCATCTGTGAGGGAATTACTACACCACGTGAGGCCCCTCATAACACCATATGTGAAGGAGTTACTACACCACGTGAGGCCCCTCACAACACCATCTGTGAGGGAATTACTACACCACGTGAGGCCCCTCATAACACCATCTGTGAGGGAATTACTACACCACGTGAGGCCCCTCATAACACCATCTGTGAGGGAATTACTACACCACGTGAGGGAATTACTACACCTGAGGCCCCTCATAACACCATCTGTGAGGGACTACACACCACGTGAGGCCCCTCTAACACCATCTGTGAGGGAATTACTACACCACGTGAGGGCCCTCCAACACCATCTGTGAGGGAATTACTACACCACGTGGGGCCTCACAACACCATCTGTGAGGGAATTACACACACGTGAGGCCCTCATAACACCATCTGTGAGGGAATTACTACACCACGTGAGGCCCTCATAACACCATCTGTGAGGGAATTACTACACCACGTGAGGCCCCTCATAACACCATCTGTGAGGGAACTACTACACCACGTGAGGTCCCTCCTAACACCATCTGGGAGGGAGTTACTACACTACGTTTTTGCTGTTCAACACCTACATTAATCTGTATGTTCACTGTATGTTCCTTTACCTTTCTCTAATGAAGGCTTTTGTTAAACCACCAATGTATGTAATAAGTCATTTATGCCCAATGTATATTTTCAGCCTTCGGGCTGCAGAACTTTTTCAATAAACCGTTAATTATTATTATTATTATTATTATTACACACACACACACAGGCTACATAAACGAAACACCACAAGTGAGCAGAAACAATTATTCTTCCACCTGTGCAGTAGCCGCCAGCCCCCGGGTCTCTAGGGGCGAGATTCCCCAAATGGAAACTCTGAGAAACGAGCTTAGCAAGTGTTGAGGATTCTCGCGGTAGAGGAGTGCAGGATTTAGGAATCCAAAGACGGTACTACCCACTTGATGAGTTGACGAAGATAGGTAAGGAAGAGAGAGAGAGAGAGAGAGAGGCATCCTGTGACAGTATTCATGCCCATTACACTCACTAATAAGTAGGAGAGAGGCGACCATCTCCTCGGCAGTTAACAGTAAGCGGACACCTTTAATACAACTCAGGTAACAAGGAACCACAGAATCAGCTCAAGGTCCCTTCTGTGGCCCGTCTGTCACAAGGGAACCATCAGGTGGTCCGCCTCCCACATAAGAGTCGTTTTGTTCAAGACAAGGAAGCGTTTCTTACTCCCAGGAGAGGGTCGGTGAAGCAATCCAATTTTCGGAGAAATTTTGGATCCAGATTTTAAACGACACGCATTTTACCTTTTACGGTCGTCAGCAAGTATCTATCCTACGGTCAGGAGAACTGTTGGTGGAAGAAACGTGATTACCCTGACGGAGGCGAACCAGTGAGGGGCTCAGGAGGGATGTGGGTGAGAGTAACAGCAGTCATAAAACTCCCCCAAACACCCACATTAAAGACACAGATCCGAGATAGACGAAGGATTCCGGGAACCACAAGAGGAAGGAACTACTGCACCGAGACTCACTTTAGGACTTCTTGAACTCACCTGAAAGGATAAAGGCGGAGACAGACGAAGGCCTCAGGGGGGCCGTAGGTGGAGCTGTCCCTGAAGCGTAGATCGTGGGCCGACACCACCGTCACTATAAGGTGGGACTTCTCTTGGTCGTACCATAGTTGTATCTGTAGCTTACCGCTCACTGGGTCCCTCGTCACGTCGCTCTGTGGGGAGGGCGAGAGGAGGGGGATAAATGGGTGATATGGAGTGAGAGGAAGTGTAATGGAATGGAGAGGGACAAGAGGAAGGGGAGATAGTGAAGAGAGAGGAAAGAGGAAGCTAGGGGAGAGAGAGAGAGAGAGAGAGAGAGACCAGTGGATTGTACACACACGGTAAATTCCACTTATATTTTCCCCTTATGTTTTACTTAACTATTACTGACAGTCTTCTAATAATACACAAGCAGGTGAGTACAGGTAAGCGGTACACCTGTCAGGAGCTTCACCACCAGGTACACAACCCAACGGTTAATATATGTGTGCTGATACCTGTGTTAATGAGGGAACGGCAGCAGTTGTTCGACTAACCCAGTGACCTGTCTCCCACGTACACCACCACCACCTGCACTCTCCCACGTTCAACACCACCACCTGCACTCTCCCATGTACACCACCACCACCCACACTCTCCCACGTACACCACCACCACCACCCACTCTCTCCCACGTACACAACCACCACCACTCTCCCACAGCCTCCCACGCACACCACCACCACTCCCCCACGTACACCACCACCACCACCCACAGCCTCCCACGTACACCACCACCACCACTCCCTCACGTACACCACCACCACCACCCACAGTCACTCACGCACACCACCACCCTCCCGTACACCACCACCACCACCACTCCCTCGTACACCACCACCACTCCCTCACGTACACCACCACCACCACCCACAGTCACCCACGTACACCACCACCACTCCCTCACGTACACCACAACCACCACCACTCCCTCACGTACACCACCACCATTCCCTCACGTACACCACCACCACCACCCACAGCCACCCACGTACACCATTACTAGAAAACCTCAGTAACTCAATTAACTCTTAGAGGAAGAAAAATACAAAAACACAAACAAACAAACAAACAAACACAAGTCAAGGCGTCACATCTGGTGTTGCAATTGCCACGTTTATACAACATTTACCTCGGGTTTATTGCCTACTCTTGCAACACGTTTACACGAGATACTGTTGCACAATCAGAATTCTAAATGGGTTCTTCTGTTTGTTTGTTTATTTGTTTGTTTGTTTGATTGTTTTTCTTGAGAATTTTGTAGGTAACAGATGGTTTAGTTGCGTCTAATTGTTGGTGTCTCTATAACTTGACTAGTTGAACCATTAACACAGGTGATGGCCGACTCTGTGGAGGTGTTCTGACTTATGTAATGCCAGACGTAGTACTCAGAATACAGTGGTCAGGACATAGTGGTCAGGGCATAGTGGTCAGGGCATAGTGGTCAGGGCATAGTGGTCAGGACATAGTGGTCAGGCCATAGTGGTCAGGACATAGTGGTCAGGACATAGTGGTCAGGACATAGTGGTCAGGGCATAGTGGTCAGGGCATAGTGGTCAGGGCATAGTGGTCAGGACATAGTGGTCAGGCCATAGTGGTCAGGACATAGTGGTCAGGACATAGTGGTCAGGACATAGTGGTCAGGGCATAGTGATCAGGACATAGTGGTCAGGGCATAGTGATCAGGACATAGTGGTCAGGACATAGTAGGCCCTCCATAGTGTCCCCCACGTACAGCACCACCCACACTCCCACGTACACCACCACCCACACTCACATGTACACCACCACCCACACTCACATGTACACCCCTATGTCGGTATCCAGCGCACTGAGAGGCCCTCACCTTTAATATAACGGAACAACAGTGCTCTTAACCCACTTTATAGGTAATACACATTGGAAAAAATCGATGAATTTGTAGTTTCAACAAATCACGGCTCTCGAGTTGAGCAATTTGTTTAAAGTTTAGACAATTGTAAGACATTTTTCTTCTATTACGTGTCCCTCACAAACGGTCTAAATATACCAAGGGAATCAGGAGGGAGGAGCCCCCCTGCTTGGAGGTTTGGTTAGGTAATTTTAGGTCATTTACGAGGGATAAGTCATAGAAGAAAAATGTCTTACAATTGTCTAAACTTTAAACAAATTGCTCAACTCGAGAGCCGTGATTGGTCGAAACTACAAATTGACCAAAAAATCCACCTACTTGGCTTGGATGTTATCAGTGCAGTAAAGTAGTAATGGTTGAAGACTGTACCTGGTTGTTATCTCACGAAGCTGTATGTATAAAACACTTTCACTTGGTGTTTCCATAAGGCATAACGACATAAAGCTTAATTACGAGTAGATTGCTTCCTGCACTGTACCGGCCACCCATTGTCTCATAGCCGCAACACTCCCCACTTGGCTGTGAGACTTGGGGGTTAAGTTTCCTTATTTGGTGGCAAACTGAATGATTCCCTCAGAGAAGGTATGTTCTTGCCTCCACTACTGCTGTGTTGGAACTGTCCTTTCATGCCCGTTTCGACCCGACGATAGATAGTTAGAATCTGTCTCGCAGTGTCAGACCACATGTTCGGTACAGGGTCGCCTGGGGTATTTGTACATTATTTATTTTATAATTACAACTCCACACTTGATGGAAAGTATATTTAACTATTCATATGATACAAATTTCATAAATTCATAAAACTCTTCTTCTGTAGTAGCCTAAGAGGTAAAAAAAAAAACCTAAATATAATGTGTAATAATATTCACCAATACCCCAGTGTCAGTTATAAACCTGACAACAGTGGTCAGAACACAGTAGTCAGAACATAATCATTTTGCAGCCGCTTTAGGCGTCCAATTTTCCATCCTGTCGAAACTCCCCTCGCCCTGCCTCGTACAGCGCCAGCTCGGGAGACGCAGTAAGTGACAACCTCCCCCCAGTCAGGTGGTCCAGGGCGCGAGTTTCTTAGCATAAATTTGTCGTCTTGTCTGATAATTCCCGAGAGGATTCACTGTTAACTTACTATAATAAGCATTCTCATATAAAACCTCGAATCATCATGTGCTTCTGTCAATGGTAAATACTTGGTCTAGCTGACATGAATGATGAAGGTCTTATAGTCTGTTCAAAGATTTGGTTATAATTTGAGCTTCTTGATGACAAAGTTCGCCGCTAGATGGAGTTGATGTTTATCTGGTTATTTATGGAAGAACGAGACAAGTTTGCCCTCTCGTGTGTACCGCCCACACTCACAGTTCAGCGGCCCTCCACTTTTCATGCTACCGGACTTAATGATCTTCTCTCGCGATGCAATTAACAGAATGTGATGATGGTCGAAAATCTTAATCATTTTCATGTCAGAGAAACACATGATGAACTGATCATGGTTCACGGCCTCCTTTAACAAGTCGAATCTTTGGTGGTTCGTTGGATCCAATCACGACAGATCGGGGTGAGAGGGTAGTGCCGTGTTGGCCCCTCGAGACCCAGGTGTGACCAGACCTCTGAGAGACAGGAGACGGGGATTAAAGATTTAAAAAACAAAAACAAGTGAAGATTAACGTGTATTAATATCTCAACATATAAGTTAAAAGGCAACGTTGCTCTTGAAGTTTGGTTAGTAAGATATTTGAGCCAATAATTACTGTTAAGAGCCTAAGATTAAACAACACAGGGATAGATGCACTGGTCGTTGTCGTGGATGATGCAGGTGTGGTGTGAGGACATGACGCAGGTGTGGTGTGAGGACATGACGCAGGTGTGGTGTGTGAGGACATAACACAGGTGTGGTGTGAGGACAAAACACAGGTGTGGTGAAAGGACAAAACACAGGTGTGGTGTGAGGACATAACACAGGTGTGGTGTGAGGACAAAACACAGGTGTGGTGTGAGGACAAAACACAGGTGTGGTGTAAGGGCAAAACACAGGTGTGGTGTAAGGATGTAAGGACAAAACACAGGTGTGGTGTGTGAGGACATGACACAAACACTACAAACTGTGGGACATCATCAGGAACCTGCACGTGTCGCTCCAGGGCTGATCTGTGTTGACATGAATGATCTTCACATTATTTACTCCCTGATGAAGGTCACATCCACAAGCGTCAACATTACATCCACGATTTTCATCAGGGACTACCATCGGCGTGTAAGATAATCCCTGTACACGGTCCTACACTTATATACTTCATGATGGTCCAAATGATCCTAAAAGTAATGATGAATTCTTGATAAACCTTGATGCTTGGAGGCTCACCCGGCAAACTGCTTTTACCCGAGATAAAACTCTCTCGCTCACCACAAACTTTAGGATTATAAAACGTAAAACTTAGGCTGGGGAATTTTCACCAAACAGCCAACAATTTTATCCCCCAAAAGGTTCCTTAAGAGTCAGTAATGTTTTAAAGTGAAAAATATCTCTCAGAGGCAGGAAGATCCCAGACCTGACGTAGGGCTTCAGGTCCCTCAGTGACTCCTTTACCGTGTGGTGCCCCTGGCTGTAGGAACACACTGGGTATAAGATGCAGGAGTGGGCACAACAGCTGATCGCCAGGGTCTAGTTACAAGTACAGTCAACTACTCAAGACCGTTCGCCTCTCCTCCTGAACCACGAACCCCAAAGATTCAAACTAATGAACCCGAAGCAGTAGACTGACACATTATTCCGCCCATCAATGCTTCGGATGCATGAATGTGAATCTTTGGGGTTCATGGTTCAGGAGGAGAGACAAACGGACTTACGCCCTACACTTAACTAGACTCAGAAAAAAATAAAATACTTAAAAATCGACTTAAAAATAAGAGATAAGGGATTTATGCCTCAACTATAATCCCTAATGAAATGTGTTAGGTAGTAAAGGTAGACTGAGAGAGAGAGAGAGAGAGAGAGAGATAAACAGCTTGGAGCACCAATTAACCTGTATAGGGATGTTGTCAGTATTCAAAGACATAACATTTGGTCTTGTTATTGTGGTGAAATTTCACTAATGGTCCCCATGTGTGTGTGTGTGTGTGTGTGTGTGTGTGTGTGTGTGTGTGTGTGTGTGTGTGTGTGTGTGTGTGTGTGTGTGTGTGTGTGTGTGTGTGTGTGTGTGTGTGTGTGTGTTACAGCTTCAACACTTCTCCTCTCTAACTACATAATGTTCCTGATGAGTAACGCTTAATGAAGCAGTAATGACATAATGAGAGCGCATTATGACGTAACGATGACATAATGACGACGCCACTGCTGCCAAAGACGTATGGGTAACGTATTGGTGATGTAAGAAGGACGTAAGAGAGAGAGAGAGAGAGAGAGAGAGAGAGAAAGAGAGAGAGAGAGAGAGAGAGGCTACTTACAGGTATTCTCGGTAGTTTTCTTCTGGAACTTGACAGCTGGGACTTGTCGCTTTCACCCTCTGGAAAAAAAAGGTAACACATATGATTCACGACTCTATACCAGACGTGGCACCTGATTAAACCTATCTTACGCTTAATCTATCCTGATATAACCGTTAACGCAACTTAACCCAACCTAATCTATCCTGACTTATTCAAATTACTAATCGAACCAAAACAAACCCGAAGATATGGTACAGCAATTCGGGTAATCTGATCACACACACACACACACACACACACACACACAACATTAGGAAGAGGAAGGCTAAAGGAACCCACCTGAGGGAGATCTGCCCTCCAGCGATCCCTTCTTCTGCTGAACTAAGGCACTCGGGTCGTCGCCGTAATCCAAGGAGCGACTGTAAGAGAGAGAGGCAAGTTAGACCTTCCTGGATATGATGTTGGATCGTGTTCTCTACTTGTGTTGTACGTGACCTCAGAGGCCATTATGGTAAGAGGATGACGTGCATGATCTACTGTAGGTGTTTCACTAGACGTATACTGATATAGTTTCACTTTGTGTTTACTTTAAGAGTGTTGTGTGTATTGGTTGGATATTTTTGTACTTATCTGCTGCTTTCTTGAAGAAAGTAGAATGTTGGTATTTATATTGAATTTTAGCTCTTAATTCTCAAATATGTTAAATAGATACAGTATTTACCTCCAGGTGAGAGCGTGCTGCGCCGCCCCCTGTAAGGTGTACCTGGACGGGCAGAGGCGAGGTAAAGAAGCACTCAATACCTGTACGAGGCAGGTAATCCCCCTATTACTGCCGCCGTGCCTCGGATCATCGTGTTTCCCACCCACTCTCCCATTGATCGTACATAACAGCTCTATTGGCAGAGTGTGTGGTCGGGAAAAAGAGGCTTACGATGACTGATATGCCTATACTGTAGACCTTATACAGACCCTTCCTCTATTCCCTTTGTATATAAACTCACAATATGGAGGTGACTGAGGTAGCTAAACAGGTTAAAGTAACCAATAGTGACTGTATGAGAACTGGCCATTGGTTACATTAAATCCAAGAAAAAAACCTCCATCAGTCAGGTCAGGGAGCAGAAGCATTAACCCGACTAGATGGAGTAGAATATAATATGCCTTCCGTGTAGAACAAATTATGTTGAGTCCTTTCTTCACGTCTCATCTTCCTTAATGGTGAAATTTGCCGTCACTTCATCAAGGTAAGACATCAGGAGAACGTCTTAATTAGGTGTAAGTTACTTCCCTTCTTATGATACAGCTGGACACCCTCCTATTGCAGTATCCTAGAGGCGCCCCACGACCCAGACATCCTGACACCCTCCTACTGCAGTATCCTAGAGGCGCCCCACGACCCAGACATCCTGACACCCTCCTACTCTAGTATCCTAGAGGCGCCCCACGACCCAGATATCCTCCTGGTGATCATGCTCCTTCTTGTTCTGGCTAAAGGAAGAAATATATCCTTTATGACCTAAATGAGTTGACACCTTTCTTCTGCCTCTCCTCGTAACATCTTCCTCCCTCGGATAATGCTCCTCTCACCTCCTCGCCTTCTTCTCATTTATCTTCTCTTCACACCTTCTTGTCCACTTATCCTTCTCTCTCTCTCCCCAATTTAGGTGACTGCGTCACTTGGCCTCTCCGCCTTCTGCCACCCCCCCCACCCCCCTCCACCACCCACTTCCTAAACATGGCAGAGTTGATGCCCTCACCAAACTCGCGTCTAACAAAGACACTGTTGGATACAGTCTGGGTCTGTCAAAAAGAACCTTTAAAACTGTAATCAGTAAAGAACTTGTTGATGAATTTGGCGCAAGCAGACAAGTGCAAACAGGAAAAAGTTAATCCATTGTTTACCACGATGAGATGTATCAAGTGAAACATGTATATGAAGCAAGTAACAAGATCACTAGATTACAAGATGTTGTAACCGCTACAGTAGACTAAGGTTAGGATATAAGTACCTCTGGCAGTATATCCCTCAAGCAGATGCGAACAAGACTAAATGTAAAGTGTGTGGCCAGACATATGGCCACACACTTTACGTCCTTGACAGTAAGAAGATAGAACCTTTTAGGGACAGGTCCAAGCACACTGTGTGAAATGGCACAACACTTTATCTCTAATGGCAAGATACTGACATATTAAGATTGTGTCCACTATTTGTCACTCAGTAGCTGTATATTCTCCCATGAATAGAACCAAACACAAACACACAATGTGTTTGAATACCTCTCATACAAATGTGAATAACAAAGTGTGCGGCCAGACATATAGCCTCACACTGCTGTACTCAGGCAGCTGTGAACAACAAAGTGTGCGGCCAGACATATAGCCTCACACTGCTGTACTCACGCAGCTGTGAACAACAAAGTGTGCGGCCAGACATATAGCCTCACACTGCTGTACTCAGGCAGCTGTGAACAACAAAGTGTGCGGCCAGACATATAGCCTCACACTGCTGTACTCACGCAGCTGTGAACAACAAAGTGTGCGGCCAGACATATAGCCTCACACTGCTGTACTCAGGCAGCTGTGAACAACAAAGTGTGCGGCCAGACATATAGCCTCACACTGCTGTACTCACGCAGCTGTGAACAACAAAGTGTGCGGCCAGACATATAGCCTCACACTGCTGTACTCAGGCAGCTGTGAACAACAAAGTGTGCGGCCAGACATATAGCCTCACACTGCTGTACTCAGGCAGCTGTGAACAACAAAGTGTGCGGCCAGACATATTGCCTCACACTGCTGTACTCAGGCAGATGTGAACAACAAAGTGTGCGGCCAGACATATTGTGCCTCTGTGAACAAAGTGTGCTGCCTCACACTGCTGTACTCAGCAGCTGTGAACAACAAAGTGTGCGGCCAGACATATTGCCTCACACTGCTGTACTCCACGCAGCTGTGAACAACAAGTGTGCGGCCAGACATATTGCCTCACACTGCTGTACTCAGGCAGATGTGAACAACAAAGTGCGGCCAGACATATTGCCTCACACTGCTGTACTCAGGCAGCTGTGAACAACAAAGTGTGCGGCCAGACATATAGCCTCACACTGCTGTACTCAGGCAGATGTGAACAACAAAGTGTGCGGCCAGACATATAGCCTCACACTGCTGTACTCAGGCAGATGTGAACAACAAAGTGTGCGGCCAGACATATTGCCTCACACTGCTGTACTCAGGCAGATGTGAACAACAAAGTGTGCGGCCAGACATATAGCCTCACACTGCTGTACTCAGGCAGATGTGAACAAGTCTCCCTCTATGTACAGAACTAAACAAATAATATATATGAAATACTCTGTAATATTTAATGCCATAATATCCTGACCACGGGGGACTGTTATACACACCCCTTGTGACCTCTACTCTGTAATCCTTTTGCGCTACCACTCACAGGACGAGTATAGGGTGCACAATAAACTAGCCTCTGTAAGTGGCAGAATTCAAATTCAATGCCTACCGCCTACAGCCCACCCACCAGCCACCCCACCACCACCCATTACTTACTGCACACCTACCACCCACCTCACCACCACCCCTTGCCTACCGCCTATATACCACCCTCCACCCACCCCTCACCAACGCCCACTACCTACCACCATCACCAATATCCACTATCAACAGGTGCTTCCTAATGCCCACCCACCTCTTACCACCACCCACCACAACCCACCACCACCCACTGCGACCCACTACAACCCACCACCACCCACTACAACCCACCACCATTCACTGCAACCCACCACCACCCACTACAACCACCACCACTCCACTGCAACCCACCACCACCACTACAGCAACCCACCACCACCCACCACAACCCACCACCACCATTCTACTCTAAAAGATCTTGAGGATATTTAAACGTGTCGCTTCGCCAATATTTTGCTCCTACTTTTCCTCGGTAAATATTCCTTCGTCGCCCCATCTCACACACACACACACACACACACACACACACACACACACACACACACACACACATTGTTGAGACACACACACACACACACACACACACACACACACACACACACACACACACACACACGCACACACACTTCCCAGAATTGAAATATAAATGATAAAAATCTTATGCAGAACATTATGATGAAAGAGAATCGTGAACGCTATAAGTGTGCAGGTGCGTGACCTGCATGAGGGTGACACTCCCCTGCCACAACCCCTAGAGGTCAGGCACCTCCCCAATAGGTGACGCACTTAACCTCCCGGAGAAGGAGAATTATTGCTGAAAGCCCTACAGCCTGTGGTGGTGGTGGTGGTGGTGGTAGATGTTTAGAGGGTGGTGGTGTTAGCGGGAGGTGGTGGTGGTGGCGGTAGGGTTGGGCGTGTGGTGATGGTGGTGATGGTGGTGGTGGTGAGGGTTAACGTGATGTTGGCGGTGGTGATGGTGGTGGTGTGTCGACATGTAATTAAGAAAGATAAACTGTGCAGGTAGTCGACGTCGAGAGACACTGAAGGGGGGCAGGAAGGAGGGAGGGAGGGAGGGGAGGGGAGGAGGGAGGGAGGGAGGGATGAAAATAGGGAGGGGATACCTTGGTTGCTATGGGGCTGCTATGGTCGATTCCTTTCTATAGAGATGGATAATTAGATGGAGTCTTTGATGGCGTGACGGATGATAGGAAAGTAAGATTGTGGTTGACATGCTTGTGGTAGATGGTAGTGGTGGTGGTGATGGTGGTAGTGGTGGTAGTTATGGTGGTGGTGGTGTAGTATTGTTGACTGTTTAGGTCATTCTGTCGCGTGGTACAGGTGTGTGATGCAGGTGTGGTGTGGTACTGGTGTGTGATGCAGGTGTGGTGTAGTACAGGTGTTTGATGCAGGTGTGGTGTAGTACAGGTGTTTGATGCAGGTGTGGTGTAGTACAGGTGTGTAGAGCAGGTGTGTCGTAGTACAGGTAAGAATGCCAAGAATATTAATGCGTATATGTTAAAATCTGGTAATTCTTTTTGATGACCCTGTAAAAAGGAACAAAAACGAACCGATTCAAGCCCAAAATTTTCTATAACACACACACACACACACACACACACACACACACACAGGTTGCCATTGGTCGACTGATTTTAGGTCTCGTTTTCCGACTCTCTCTCCTCCTCCTCTCCCTCCCTCCCTCCCTCTCTCTCTCCCTCCCTCCCTCCCTCCCTCCCATGGACGTACAGATCATTGGAGGGTTCAAGGAGTAGCTCAACGGTGTCATCTTGGGGTAGCAGCTCCTCCATGATACTACACACTTCCTCGAAAGTACGATCCGTCAGCCCAACGCCATTCCACTCTAGAACCTGAGAGAAAAAAAAACACATCCAATTAGAAAGTTTATTGGGAAAGTTATTATTGTATTGACTGAAAGGTGAAAGTACTGTACTGTATATGGGTAATTATTATCAAAGTAGATGATTAGAAAGTTTACAGGGAAACTTTCTTTTGGTTATATTAAAGGGGAAAAACATCAATATTATTCTCTTAAATAGAAAAAACCCTACATAAATATATACTAAATAAAACATAATAAAAACTAAAGGAAAATTAAGAGCTTTTTAAACAGGCAATATTAAAATAAAATTAAAATATAATTATCATAATAACTAAAGTCTAATTAATTTTCCTCTATAACAACAAAAACAAAAACACGAAATTAATAATACTGTACATATGATACTTTTCCTTCTATAATTAATTAAAACATATACAGGTAACCTAATCACATATTCAAGAGGTTTCCTAATGATATTTGTGATGTTCAGACTTAGTAAACCTTTCCTACAGTAGTTCAGGTGAGCTCTATAAGCCTGTCTGGCCGCCCGTGGATACAGTACATAAAACACTCAGCCTTCAGTACACCCATTTACAGTGCTGGCCTCGGGATACCTTGGGCATGAACCAAGAACCCTTAAACCAGGCTGCGAGCGTTGTACCCACTCAGCCACCGTACTCCTAACGTCCACTTAATGACGTAATATAGTAATAGTAATAACCTTCCATATTTATCGTTTATTTATAAAAAAAGTAATTAATGACAACAGTTAAGGACCCATCATTAATTAGGTCGGTAATTACTGGCAGGTGTATGAGATGAAGGTGATCACTTTAGAACCATGCATCAGGGGTCTCCTTGTATCTATCCATCTATCTATCTATCTATCTATCTATCTATCTACCTATCTATCTACCTATCTATCTATCTATCTACCTATCTATCTACCTATCTATCTATCTATCTATCTATCTATCTATCTATCTATCTATCTATCTATCTATCTATCTATCTACCAATCTATCTATCTATCTATCTATCTATCTAGGGACCTGACACGATCCACACAACTGATCACCTTAAATGAAGTACCGAAAGTGTCCACCAAATATATCCTTGGCAGCTCTACGACACGGTGTTGTATTTCTCGGGGAATATTGTTGTCGTGTCGTTGATTATTATTGCTTTTAATTTACCAATGGTTAATCTGGGGACCGAGGTGACCATGATGACTACACGGTCACCCGAGGGACTATAGTAGCCTAGGGTTCTTCCATGCTATGACTCGTGGCACCATCTTGATGAAACTATCCTTGGTTATTTTCGTCTTGTGTAAGGGCGCTCAATAAACTCAGGATAATGTTGATGTAACGTTCTGAGTTTAATGTTGCTGAGAAGAAAATTGAACCAATAATTCTTTGCCGACTTACAGCACACCAAACCAATTTTCCCGAAATGGAATGGCCTTTCGTGCACCGCATAAAGTTGTTCACTTAGGCATAAACGAGTGTTCAGTGAATTATCATATCCAGAAAGATGAACCATGCTCCATCTGAAGCCACTCACGGTAGCCTACACGCTCCTGGCTACGGTAACTGGTGCACTGCAGGAGTTTTGTAGGGATAAAGTTTGAGTGTCTTGACCGCCTGCCTTACACTGCAACATGAACAGTGAGTTTATTGTGCCATTCTTTCCCCTGTAACAACACTTGGCTGTCACATGTTTCTCTGAACTGCTTCACCAGTTTCCATATCATTAATTTCGAAGGTTTCGCACGACCACCAAAGTGACATTTCAGTGCGATTTGTCATTCCTAAAGGAAACATTCTTGCTGTAATCTTGAACGAGCAACACGCGTTCTGCCACAGTGAGCGCCATGGCGTGACATTAAAAACTATTAAACGCCTCTAATGGGTCGTGTGATAACTCTCAGGGTCATGTCACGTGTTTCTGTAACATTACGCTACATTTACGCAACATATTAGGTTCACAGGTGATAGAGTTTTAGCGTATGGGAATTATTTACGGTTCTCGAATAAAAAAAATCATCCTCCCGTTTACCTATTCATCTACAATCTCTATCTATGTGTTTTTTCGTGTGTTTCTCTGCTCTTATATCTATCCATCCAGGTTGGTGTGACTGTGGTCAGGTGAGATGATCTACCTGTACCGATGTAATTAAGAGAAACTTAGACGCGTGTGTGTGTGTGTGTGTGTGTGTGTGTGTGTGTGTGTGTGTGTGTGTGTGTGTGTGTGTGTGTGTGTAATATGTGTGTATATGTGTGTTAGTCAGGAAGTCATCTGTACGTTACAAATCCATTTTATACACAATACAAAATGAAAAAATAAATCAAAATAAATATCAAAACAGAAGAGGTCTTACCTTATCACCTTGGGAGACGCCGGCAACCTCGGCTGGCCCTCCACGCACCGTCCACACAACGTAAGCGAACAGGTGACCATCTGTGCCCACCTTACCGCCTACAACACGCATACCCAGGCCACGAGCTGCAACAACAACAACAACAATTAGATGTTATTAGTGATATTACAATAACAACCTCCAGGTCACAAGGTGCAATAACAAGAGACAGGATTGTTACAGACGGTGCTGCAATAATAACCATTTCCAATACCAAAATGTATTACCAAGGTTGTGAAAATATCTACAGACCTCGTACAAGAGTTTAGTGTGTATGTGTGTGTGTGTGTGTGTGTGTGTGTGTGTGTGTGTGTGTGTGTGTGTGTGTGTGTGTGTGTGTGTGTGTGTGTGTGTGTGTGTGTGTGTGTGTGTGTGTGTGTGTGTGTGTGTGTGTGTGTGTGTGTGTGTGTGTGTGTGTGTGTGTATGTGTATGTGTGTGTGTGTGTGTGTGTGTGATAGCTGGATACAAACATGTGGTAACAATGACGTATTATACTTCCCATGATTTACAAATCAGTAAAAAACATTATGTCGTAGAAACTGTCTACAAGAAATGGTTCTACGCCATAATGTTCTTTACTGACTGATGAACCAGAGGTTAAAATAATAAAATAAACCAATACCCAGAAAAAATCAATACAAATCCCAGGTACACCTCCACTAATGACAGCACAGGTGAGAGGGGAGGAGGAGGATTGGCACCATTTGCTTACCGAACATCAACGAAATGATCTATTCACGTAGACAAAACATCAAAGAATTCCGTGCAAACAAATTTTTTCTCTTTTGATGTATTCTTGAAAAGTTTGGTTCTAGTTTTCGCTCATTTGCCAAGAAAACCAGTTCTTTGAGGCTCTGTGTGTGTGTGTGTGTGTGTGTGTGTGTGTGTGTGTGTGTGTGTGTGTGTGTGTGTGTGTGTGTGTATGCCAGTTGTACAGTAATGGAAACACAGAATTAAATTAGTTAATATATAGATACGTTCCTCCTCTCCCCTCCTCCTCCTCCTCTGATCATCACCATTAGCCGTCTCTCACTTCATGCTTCTCTCCATCTCCTTTCACGAACTGTTTCTCCTTCTCTCATTTTCCTCAATTTCCTTTTTCGTCTCTTTCTCTTCTCTCCACTTAATCAATTTTCTCTCATTTTTTTTTTCATTTTCTTGTTTCGTCATTTTCTTTTGTTTTCTTTTTATTATATTTTCCTTATTTTCATTTTATTAGTTTCCTGTTTTCTGTCTCTGTAACTTTTATTGTCTCTCTGTCTGTCTGTCTGTCTTTTCTAGCCTGATTTCTCTCACACAAGGGGTCAAGGGGTAAGGGGTCAAGGGGGGCGAATTATCGGCAAAAAGAAGATTAATGAGAGGAAGTAAACTTGTGCTCCGGGTCGAACCCCCCAACGATACTCGGATCCCACTAAGGCGATTAAGGGATCAATGATAGCTGAGAGAGAGAGAGAGAGAGAGAGAGAGAGAGAGAGAGAGAGAGAGAGAGAGAGAGAGTAAAATATGACAAAGTACTTTTAATTATTACATTACATTTAAAAAAGAAACAACTTTGGGATTCCTAAATAAATTCAATAAACTGATGAATAAATAAAAATAAATAAGGAAAAATAAAGAAGTTAACAAATAAACAAATTAATAAAAAATAAATAAAAATACAGGCAGAGAAAATTACCCCAAGCCCCAGCCGTCAATCTTTAATATTATGTAATAAAACTTGGCCTCCCCCTCTTCCTCCTCCACCTCCCCCTCTTCCTCCTCCACCTCCCCCTCTTCCTCCTCCTCCCTCCTCCTTCTTCCTCCTCCTCCCCCTCTTCCTCCTCCACCTCCTACACGTCTTCCTCCTCATCCTCCCACTTCTCCTCCCCCCCTCCTCCTCCTCCTCCTCCTTTAATATAAACTTTGCTAAATTATAACAATATCAGGTAGCCCCTCTTCCTCCTCTTTAATACCAGGGTCTTTAATCAATAGATGGGAAGTGCTTTCTTTATTACCTACGTTAGTCTAGTCAGCTGTTGTTGTTTTGTCTTTGTTAGTATTGTTGTTGTTATTTTGTTTTTGTTGATGTTTTTTGTTGTTGTTTGTTTGTTATGTTGTTGTGTTGTTGTTATTATTATTATTATTATTTATTATTATTATTATTATTATTATTATTATTATTTTATTCTTGTGTGTGTGTGTGTGTGTGTGTGTGTGTGTGTGTGTGTTTTAGTATAATATAAACCTAACCTAACCTAACCTTTACACTTGACCTACAATACCTAGGTCAGTTAGTTTGTCAAGTTGTTGAGGTCAAAGCTTACACGACCATGACCCGCCCACCATACCCAGGTGTACCGTGTACCTGTTGTATAGTTGATTAAGGTGCCGAGCTTCTCTACCTAATGACTAGTTTAATGGAACACAGAGTTGGTTCACCTCTTGGTCATGGTGTGTGTGTGTGTGTGTGTGTGTGTTGGAGGTGGAGAGGGAGAGGGAGGAGATGATGAAAGGGGTGGGAGGAGGAGAAGAAGAAGAAGAAGAAGAAGAAGAAGGAGATGAAGAAATAATTAACGTACAAAATAGGTAAGCAATATGGCGTCGTAATTGTTCTAAGACTCTACCATGACTTGTTGCGTTCTTTTATCCTGCAGCTGAGAAAGGAGAGAGAGAGAGAGAGAGAGAGCGTTCAAACCTGGGGTCATGAAGCCAATGAGGAGGTTCAAAGGTGTGGGTACAACGGTTGGTGGTGGTGGACAGGTAGATAGGTGGTGGTGGTGGTGGTGGACAGGTGGTGGTGGTGGACAGGTGGATAGGTGGTGGTGGAGGACCAATTAGCGTCATTGCAATTATGGTCGACCAATCAGAACTAAGTGTAGTACACCTTTATTTAAGACCATGTATACTGGTGTGTAGGTTGTAAACTCTGGGTGTAGGTGTATGATGGGTATACCTGGGTTAACTTGTTATATGGAAACCTTTATCGAACACAGGAAACCCAGTGGCACAAGCCAGTCACTGTAGCTCCTCCTGTATGGTGATGGTAGAGGCGACTCATCGTCATATAACATAGCCCCTTGAGGTGTCTGATTAAAGTGAGGGCAACATTGTTCTCTAGTTTAACAGAGTGGAAGCCTCAATCTTGTCTCTCAAATGCTCGTAAGATAGATTTTTCGTTATAAATAGCTCAGTTAAGCCATGGTTCAAACAGGGATTCGCAAAGATAAATCATAACTTAATTATTCCACTTAATAAAACGTACTTAACTGGCTCAAACAAATAATAATAATAATAATAATAATAATAATAATAATAATAATAATAATAATAATAATAATAAAAACAAAACAAATAATAATAATAATAATAATAATGATAATAATAATAATAACAATAATAATAATAATAATAATAATAATAATAATAATAATAATAATAATAATAATAATAATAAAAACAAAACAAATAATAATAATAATAATAATAATAATAATAATAATAATAATAATAATAATGCTGAATATGGAAAAATATAAGTTTATATATTCATTAAATACATGGAGTAAACGTGATAAGGATGAATATTATTTCGATTTATATTTTTAAACAATACTCATTAAAATTTAAAACAATTAATGTGTACCTTTACATTTTAACGTTCAATTCTAACTCCACAAATTGTTTCTGAATGTCGCTGAGGATAATCTCGTATGTCATATTATTTCGTTTCTTAATATACGAAAATATTAACTTCATGATTTGTTCTTACAATGTTCTTATGAAAAACTGCTTTAGAATTTATTAATTAATTCGTAATAATATTTCACAAAGTTGTGCTTCACCTCGCAAAAATAAAAGCGGAATTAATAAGAGTCATGTATAGTAGTTGCCAGATACAGTTTTTAGTTTCATAATATTATATTACTAATCTATACAGAATCTAAATTATATTGCGGAATATATTAAAATAACTTATAATGAAAATAAACAAGTTTGTGAGATGATAAAGGTGTAGCGTCGGACTGAACACCACGAAGATGTACCACCCACTGTACTCGTTAACTGTGAAGTGTGTATGAGTGTGTACAATTTTCTTGAAAAATACCTGCAATAAGTGTACTTACAATTGTTTCATTGTTATAGTTTGTAACAAGAAAAGTGCTAGAAATTTTTGAAACTGAATTCAAGAGTTGGAACGAATGGGATAACTTTTTACGGGAAGAAAACAAACTCACTTGCTCTCATCGTGGGTATATCGGGCCAGATGAGGTCACCTTATTTCTCCTTCTACTCATATAAGTAAGTACCTTTCAACATGTAAGTTTAATGTCTTATACTAGTAATATATTTAGTTTTACCAAGTGATATAAAAAGTGATCTTCTTACCTTATTAAGTGATAATTTAAGTGTGCTAAATGAGGCAGGAAGACCAGGGCCGCCAGTCACTGAACTACCAAGGTAAACATAAACATCAATTGACGTCTTTAAATCGAGTAAATGTTTATATTCTTTAATGAGGTTTAAATAATATATCTCAGCGTATATATATATTACTTCCATAAACACTTAATATAACCAGAGGATTAATGAATATAATTATCAAGGTGTGAGTGAAAAAAAAACACATTCAGGCTGAAGAGAACATATTGACTTCTTCTCTTTTCACTAATTATAATGTATATCAAGACTAATTTGTCTTCCTTTTAGTACTTTTGACTTACTTTGTGTTATGACTTCCTCTCGCACTTTTCACTTCTGGTTTTGAGTTCCTCTTTATATTTTGACTTCCCCTTGGTGCATTTGACTTCCTCTTTATATTTTGACCTCTTCTTGGTTGTTTTGACTTCATTTTTATATTTTGACTTCCCCTTGGTGCATTTGACTTCCTCTATATATTTTGACCTCCTCTTGGTTGTTTTGACTTCCTTTTTATATTTTGACTTCCCCTTGGTGCATTTGACTTCCTCTTTGTATTTTGACCTCCTCTTGGTTGTTTTGACTTCCTTCCCCTTGGTGCATTTGACTTCCTCTATATATTTTGACCTCCTCTTGGTTGTTTTGACTTCCTTTTTATATTTTGACTTCCCCTTGGTGCATTTGACTTCC